TAATAATGATTAACACGACAATCAAATTAATTTTGCAATAGTAGTCTAACTCGACATAGACAGCTGTGTAAATTCTTATATATTAATAAATTTTTCACTAATTTTGATTGGCAATAAGATGCCAAAAAACATAAATAAGATGTTTTCTGCTCTTAACTATATTTAGACAATTATTTCCTTTGCACATAACTACTATTTGTTACACATTTCGACTTAGGTGATATATAAATGCGCAATATTTTCGGCTATGATAATCGTAGCATAACCATATTTTGTGAGAATACAGAACGGGAAATGAAATATTGAATCATATACATAACTCATTTTTGTTTTATTTCAAGTTAGGTGGTTTGTGTTTGAAGCAATAAATTTTACATTCACATTTGAATGTACGTATCTAGAATTATCGTTTAGTTAATTATGAAAAATTATTCGGCACACTCGACTAAAAACTGTCAAATATGTTCATGTTCATTCACATGTTCGGACACCATGTTCATGAATGAAGAATTGACACATTAATTCTATGTATATAAATTGTAAAAAACTAGCCCAATGATAACTGCACTTCCTTTGAAAGCTTTTTATGCAAAGTAAGAAAAACGCAATGAACTCAATGAAAACTTTATTCGAGTGGTTTAACAGTTGTCGGTTTTAACTTTGTACATTTAGTTTACTTCCATAAGAAATAGCGTAATTTATTTCAGCTCTCAGAGCTTTTCGAGTAAATTAAGTAGCTGAGGCAATGATAAGGTCATTTTCTTAGCTCTTGTTAGCTTTACATAAACCAACGAGAAAAAAAACATCATTAAGATTTTTTTGGCAATTTTGTGGTAGTTAGTTTTGTTTTTGTCGGAAAACGTATTAATCGGTTTATAAAATTATGTATACTTTCATTAATATTATTAATCCGTTTCAAGTTAAATTTTAAGAAAAAAATAATAGTATTAATGAACAAATTAATTAATAATATTAAAAATATTGGCCAAATATTTATAAACGTGATTAATTATCTCAATGAACTATTTGTTAAAGATTTTGGAATCAAATTTTTTTAATAAACAGATTTTAATAATATTGATGAAAAATTAATTGTGCCAATGTGCAAATTTTTAATTAACGCAGTTAATAAATACTATGTACTTTTTTTTTTCTGTGTATGTTTTTAACATTGTGCACAATACCGAACACAGAATATTTTAAAATATTCACCTACAATTTTGTTAATAATTTTTTGTAACATTTTTATAAAAGTAGAATACATTTTTATTTCTATTTATTACCTACCTTATAGCACACATTATAAAATAAATCTCTGTTACCACACAATATAAAGGTATACAAATGGAGAATTAAATTGTTCATTACAAAAATACTGAAAATTATCCTTGAAAATATTATGCATTTAAATAAGTGCAAACTGTTTGTTAAAAGAAGAAAAACAAAACCTAAAATTTTACATTTGAGTTTGAAAATTTAAAAACAAGAAGAAATTTGAGATACGATCGCCACATAACCGACCACATTATGCAAATTCTGAATATTCTGTTCAATTGAGCAAAAATGTTTCAAAAAATTTAAAAAGTGTCCTTGTAACAGTAACTTTCTAAGAAAACTATAGTAGCTTGCGAGTAGCAGCATAAAGCATAACATATAAGAACATTTAAACATTTATATAGAATTAAAAAAAAAGTTTTCAGTTAGTTTCGTCGACAAACAGTACTCAAAGATAAAAAATTCATAAAATTCCAGTAAATAAGTTAAAAATGAATAACATTCGGTTGATTATTTCTCAACATATGGGTAAAAAGGCAAATTCGGCTCGAATTCCGAAAGTTATTAATTTTTGTTAAAATCATTTCTAATGCAATAAACGAATGCATATTTATATAGATCGACAGACCGAAATTTTGGAAATTGTGAAATTTGATGCCATCACAACATGTTTCTTATTGTAAAGAATGCGCAGTCAGTAAAAAAAAATTAAATTATTTTCTATTTTTTTTTTTTTGTTCTATTCCTTAAAAATGGAAACAAAAATAATATTTAAATATTTAGTAAATTAATATTGTATATTCATATATGCATATACATACATACATAGGAGAGTAAACATGGAATTTCTACTTTGCATACATACATGTGATTTGGAAAATTACACATGTTGTAAATGTTCATAAATGTGTTCAACAACATTTCATTCAAAACATTTCTCACTCCCTTTCTTCCTCTATATATATATATGTATATATGTTTGTATTTGACCCCTATATCGTATATATATATATTTATAGATTGTTATCCTTTATTGTTAAGTAGTTTAATATTTGTTAAAAAAAAAATTTTTTTTTCCTTCTTTTGTTTTAGTATTTCAAATTATCTTTCTTACTGAATCTTTCCCTCTTTTTTTTTCATTAAATAAAGAATAAACATAGCAAATATATGAACATTTATATCTATACATGTGTATATTTATGAGAATAAAAAAAAAATAATAATTTTCAAATAAGGATCTAAAGATAAAGGTAAAAATGAAAAAATTATGAACCTTAAACAAGAAAAGGATATATACTGAGAAAATAATAATAATGTGGGTAGCTTAAATTGTTGTGGTAGGTAAATTTTCCGGTATATGGTGTCCAAAAAAGAAAAAGTCGATTTATCCACTTAATAAATATTAATTACACCATGACCTAAAGGATATTCTCTTTTATTTTTTATCATCATAAGGGAAATTTAGTGTATAATACAAAAAATACATATATGTGTATCTAAATATACGCATATTTGTGTCAGTACGAATACAACACTATATTTACAATATAAGGTTATAGATTTTATGCTATACATTATTTACATGTGTAAGAAATTAAATAATTATAATTATATTGTAAATTTTGTATATATGTATGTATAAATATTTTATACCCTTTTATATAAATAGAATAATATTCCAGGATATACAGGATATGCAGAACATTTATAAAATAAAAAACAAAAATTCTCGTTTTTATTTCATATATTTAGAACAAAACAAAAAGGATATGTACATACTTCAATAGCACATTATGTGAAATACTAAAAATAATTACTTTTTTCTCATATTCTTTTATTTTTTTTGTTTTTTGTTAGATTAGGGTTTATTATAAAAATGTATGGGTAAAATTTTATATAGGAAATATTAAAATAAAAAAAAAATAAAAGGAATATCTATACATAAAACAGAAATATCTTTAATAATAATATTGAGGGAATGATCTATGTACGAAGTATATACAAAATTATAATAAAAAGAAATTATTTTGTAAGTAAAAATCAAACAAAACCCAAAACAATTTACATTATATGAGTATTATGTGCATACTATAGAAACCTATTGTGATGAGTTAATAAATTTAATTTTTTACATTTTTTTATAACTTATATATGTACAAGTATAAAATTAAATTTTTGATAATTTAATCAGAGAAAGGAAAAATTAAAATTAGATGGCAATTCTTTAAGAATTAAAAAAATTATAAAATTATCTTTAACACTTTCTATTAAAAAAATGTGGAAATTTCCCTTTTAGTCTTCCAAATAATTTGTATTAACAACACTTCATCACTGTCTCAGCATAGTATTTGCTAAACAAATATATTCCTTAAGGTGACTTGTAATATTTTTAGATCAGAGTAAAAGTGAGAAAAACCGAAATAAATTCGGATCAAATCAATGGTTTTTAAATAAAAATACCGTTTTTAAAAACAATCCTTTATATTATTTAAAACACACCTACTATTTATTGCATACCTTTAGGATGAGCAAAAAAAAAAAATGGGAAAGAAGCGTTAATATAATTTCGAGTCGGTTGTTATGTAAATGAGTTTAGATAAAGAATTATAATTTTTGATGGCATTACATTTGTTATACGTACAGGACAATTTGAACAATTTCTATTTCTTGTGTGATAACGGTAGTTTCTGTTTTACGATGACATGGCATTAATGCCACATTAAAATTTAACATTCACAAACATCAAATTTTTAGCTTTGATTTCAAAAATATTAAATTATTTATATTAAGGTGCGATTGTAACCTAATCGGAAGGGTTCTTCAAGTATTAGTTTTTTAAAAAAATCCTGTAATTCTGCTATATCACGTAGGTTTGATTTAAAATCACATATATATATATATATATATATATATACATACATATATATAATACATGATAATAGACAAGGCAAATTCTAGTTTAGGTTTTGTTATATGAAGTTGGTATGGCAACTTTAAGATTCACATTTTGAAAAGTATTTGTATATCTATATGTATCTAAAACAAAAAAAGATTTTTTTATATAGCCGTTGCTAAATATATACATATTTCTATATTAGAACATCTGATTACATAAATTTAAAATTATGTGAGAAAAAAATCAAAGTTTTCAAAAATATTTTTCATATCATAGGCGTTTATCCATCTGAATTTTAAAATTATACCCAAAGATACAAAAAATATATAAATATATAAATTTTACTTTTTATATTTCCTGTTTTTTTCCTAAAAAAATTAATTTAATTACTTATGTTCACACATAATTTCGGAAAACTACATAAAAAAAATATTCATGTGCACATATACCCATATTTAAAGTATAAACAAAACACACTATAGTAAATAGTGTATTAATATTATATAATATATATTAATACTATAATGTACATAGTATTAATATATAAAATATCCTTTTGATATATAAACTTAATTATATGTATATATAAATATGCTCAACATTATAAATAATAATAATAATATTGTTTAAATTCAAACATATATTAAATTTTTGTAGTATATAATTAAAATATACAAAATCATATCACACACATACACCGATACTAAATATTATTACGAAATATTGTATGTACATGTATAAACATTTGTAATAGTGAAATATATACGTATATAATTTCACTATATATATTTATTTTTTAATAGAATATAATAAGGATTATAATAAATACCTTTGGGTTAAGTACTATGCATTTAGTTGGTAATCCCATATAACATTGGGCTTTAACTAAAGTATTCATAACAACAGTTTTACCTCCACCTGTTGGTCCAACAAGCATTGTTGAGTGTCGGGTCATCATAATTTCATACATTTGCACTACCTTATCTTCCTGTACAGTAATAAAATAAAAAGGGAAAAATGAGATATTTTTTTTTTCCTTAAAAATTTAATTTTTTTATAATAAATGGATATTAAATAATAAATGTATAAATAAATAGTATATAATATTAATATATTTATAATATAAAAATATATGTGTATAATATTTTATGTAATTAAGGAATATGAAGTAGAAATGAGAGAGTATAAAAATTGTTGTGTTTAATTTTTCAGCTTTTCCATTTAAATTTAAGTAATTTTTTGTAGTTTTCTAAAATTTTTTTTTCACTATGTTATACTAATAAATTGTTATTCATAATGAAATGTGCAGTACTTAATTACTTTCAAACTGAAATAATAGTATAATAAAAGTAACAATACAGTATGAACTGGAACTTCTGTGTGAATTTTAAAATCATACGAAATTAAAATTTCTTATTTTTTTTACTACAGCGAATGTAAAATATATAGCTTATCCTCACATATTGTGGAAAAAATTGTGGGAGTAAAGATTAGGCCACTTTGTTTCTTAGCCACTTAATTATATTTATTACTTCTGTTATCCTATTTTTAAATTTCATTTGCAATGACTATTTTGACCCATTAGTTTTGTTGTATAAATTTTGTTATTATCAGGGGATGGTGTCCCTTCAAAAAATTTAAAAAATAAAAATATTTATTTAATTAATCCACAAAAAATTAATGCACAGAAAATTTCTATATCATCCACAAAAAATCGTTGCGATTATAAAGAGAAAAACATTAACTTGTTTAGTCACTTCTGTCTCTAGTCGCTTTTCAAATAAAAATCGGTTAAACATCAATTAGACTGAAGGTTTTTCCAGTTAGTTCTCATTCTTCCAATTGAATTGCTCGCTTTTTTTTTTTTTATTTAATATGCCAAAATTTTATATAAGTGACCAAATTTGTCACCTTCTATAATAAAGTGACTTAATTCAAATAATATTCATAAACGAATTTCCAAATACATAATACTTAAAACATTCGTCTGATATTGATTTTTTCCAAATGATACCTACATTTCGAATAAACTCTAACAACTATTGAAAATGAAAAACCTAGATCAAAAGTCCATATTACGTGTAATAAGCACAAATAGAACTTTATACCTTTTTCAAAAGAACTTTCAAATCTTAAAATCACTATCCTGTAATATAACAAAAACCGAACTTATACCGTCATTCAATATCATCACCTATATACATATACGAAAATTACATTCATTTATATAAGAATATACAAGTATATAGCATATTATATACTTAAACATTAATTTTTAAAGACTTTAATTCTCAAGGTGATTTTAATAGGATTTTTTTTTTAACTTTTAATAAAAAGTAACAAAAAAAAAAGAAAAACCAAGGGCTAAAACTTTCATTAAAATTTCTAGAAAATTATATAGACAAAATGATTTCCCAAAGCAACAGAAAGAAAGAAAGAAAGAAAAAAAAAGACAATAGAAAGAAAACAAGAAAACGAAAGTAGAATTATAGTGCAAACCATGAAAACCAAGAAAAGAAACTGAAACCTATAAAGTAGTTTTAGCCTATGGGTATTCGCCGGAACTTTACCCACCCTTACATTTACATTTTCTATGTATATGCTATATACAAATTAAATATACTTATAAAGTCTGTTGAAGATAAAAAGGATATTTATATATTATTTTCTAAAATATCAATCCATTGTGTCTAAAATTTTTTTTTCTTTTTTTTTTTTAAATTAAAGGATATATAACTTTGGATAAAATTGAAAGGATATCATTTGGTTTAGTAAGGCTTTTCCTATTTTTGAAAATTTTTTCTTTTATTTTTCAATTTTTTTTTTTTGTTTTTTGATTTTACATATACAGATATACATAATATATATATTATATATTTCACATTGAAACCAAAATTCATTGGAGGAAATAAAATAGATTATTTTATTATGCTTTTCTTTTCAATTTCTCGTTTTTTCTTTTTTTTTTATTTTCTTGCTCATTTCCTTTTAAATTAAGACTTTAACAGTTGTTTTATGAGCACAATAATAATAATATAGTTACATATTTATAATGTATGTATATATATGTAAAAATAAAAGATGTATATGTATATAGATACATAAAGTAGTAATATCATATCCTTACAAGTATATCCTTTTTAAAAACATTTATATAAGACTTGTTAAGTGGGTGTTTTTTTAACACTTTTAATGATATGCCAATTAATTGAAGTGGTTATTTTTGTAAGTTACTGAAGCGCAAATATGTAATGTATATATGTATGTATGTATATATTTAAATAATTAATACATACGTACATGTTATATTTATGTATAGAAATATTTTAAAGTACATTTATTTAGAAAATGGACATTACATTTTTAACTAATATTAAATTTTAGGTTATTTAAGAAATCCATTTTAATTGTGTGTTAAATTTTCTAACATAATTTTTGATAATGTGTCAAAATTTTTTTGATAAGTAAAAAATTGTTATATTTTTTGTTTTACAATAGTTTCTTTCATTTTTCCTTTTTCTTTCCTTCTTGGATTTTTAATGGGGTTAATATTATTTTTGTTATAATAATGGGTTGAAATTTTGAATATAACATGCAATAGGGATTTTTATTTTGGAGAATTTTTTTTTTTGAAACAAGTTATTTAATTTTTGAAAAGTCATTGTATCTTTATTATTTCAATTAGTATTTTTCTTTTAATTTTTCAATGACATTATTTCCAATTTAATAATAAGGATATATTCATATTTCAAGGGAGATATGTGAAGTTTGAAAATATAATTTAAATAATGCGGTTGATTTTCCGGAAAAAAAATTAATTGTGTACTATATATACGAATAAGATGCTTATAAGTGTAAAAACGCGTATATTATAAACTTTGAATTAATCTATTAAAAATCTATGATAAAATTAGATTGTCATTCACTTTGAATCTCTAGAACAATGAATGTTTAACAATATTCCTTTGGAATTCCTTTAAAATTTGAATAACAAGCAATAATAAAAAAAATTGAAAATTTTATAATATTCAAGGATTTCGAAAGAAAATTTTTAAGAAAAATTTTTTATTAAAGGCACTATACACTGCTAATTTATAGATGAAAATATTGCAGAAAATAAAACAAAAATGAAAAACTTCAATGATATTTGCGTAATTTAGGTGCTAATCTTAATTATATGTAAAAGAGGAAAATTAAGTTTTATAGCTTATAGCATGCATTCAAAATTCAAAGATTTTCAAATTAAAATTGAAATTTTGCAATTAATTATAATACAGTAATATTAAAATTGGCTTGATTAATTTAATGAAAAAGTTTGTGCCTTAGTTTAACTTATAAAATTTGTGTTTTGTAATTTGAACATTCATAAAAATCTTCATTAATCCTTCAAAAAATGAATTAAATAAAACCAAAAATGACTTTCAATTAGACACAATTTAACAATCATAAATATTTTAAATAAAGTTAGTTTATAAGAACACTTCCATTTTTCATAAATAAGAAAATTTTTGAAATACTTTCCTTCCTTGAAATAAAAAATTTGATTTAAATACATAATGTATGGTATTACCTATATAGAATGACAATTTTGTATAAATAAAAAAGGAGATGAAAAAAGTTACAAATATATTTTCATAAAACACATTAATCGTATACAAAATAGGATGTGAAAGGATGTAACTGAAACATGTTTCATTTCCTTAAAACATTCAAATTACATTTGATATTCATTTTCATATTCTGTTTTTTATTTTTGGGCTTTATTTGAAATGTAAAAAATATTTAATAAAATAAAAAAAAATTTAAAATGAAAAAGTGAATCTAGTCCTCCCTAAACCTATTTCTATAATAATTTTCTTGGTTGAAAAGAATTTTATTAGGAATAGGTGGGCAAAAGCTGGAAAAATTTTTAATATTGTAACTTAAAATATAATCGAGAGTATATTTAAATTATGTTTAATAATATAATCAAATTTATTTGAATTTTTGAAATTTTGTAGAAATTTAGGATTTAAATGTTTAAATGACTTAGAATTAAAAATATTGATTTAAACCATTAAAAACACTACGTTAATAAACACTGTTTAATTTCATGAATACTTTAATGTTTTTGACAATATTCAAAAATATGGCGCACTACAATAATTAATGTCCAATAAAACGCCGAACTTCAAAAATAGTCTTACGATCGAAATTTACAAATAAGAATTTTTGTGTAGTAGAAATTTAAAACGTTGCTCTATTATTAGCAATTTTATATTAAGTTACTCTTATATCCCAATTTTAAAATATGAATTCGATATAATGAGTATAGTATGCAATATATAGTATATAACTCAATTAATAAAAAATGATTTCATTTTCAATTTATTGTTAGTTAATTAAATTACTTAACTGAAATTAAAAAGTATTTTAATCTTACCTGTTCTGATAATAAAATATATCCATCTTCATTTAAAATATGACGAACAGCAGCATTAAAATCCGGATAATCAACACGAGGGCAATCCACTCCCGGAAACAAATCCTATTTGGAAAAATTTAAAAATACATTAGAAAAGAGATGCATATATAATGAACAAAATTATTCGAGAATAATATTATATAACTGTAACGCATTTTAATATGCCATATTGACCCATATTATAGTATTTTCAAAATTAGAATCTGAAAAATTAATATGCTAGTGTTTGCAACTTTTTATAAGAATAAAATTTTCGTAATTGTGTTATAATATTTGTTAAGCTTTTTTTTTTTGAAATGGAAATCTATTCTATTTGTTTCTTTTCTATTCTATTTTTCTATATAGAATTAAATTATAGAAATACCTAATTTCGAATTCTTAGGCTATTTATTTTTCTTAGTTATATCTAAGGCATTTGGATAAAACATTTTATAATTTTCGCTGAATATAGCTGATATAATAATTTTGGTACATAAATTTTTGTTACTGCTACAATTCTACCGTATTCCATATTTTATTTATAAATTTTGTGGGCATTATAACATTTTAGTTGGCAATAAAAAAACGATTAAATAACATTGGCTTTAAAAATCTCGAAAAAATTTCTAAGCTTTTAGACCACAATTAGTAAAAATAGTTACAATTTAAATAATTAAATCAGACCAATAAAATAAAAATCAATTTTTAATAATGATTTTTTTTTTTCACTACAATATTATGGAAACCTAATTGTTACAAACAATTTGTCTATACCTCCTTAATACTTAACATAAGAATAAAAATAGATTTGCATATTTGAAATCAGATTATTTGGCAAATTATTGTATTATATAAATGCCAGTTTTAATTATTATAAAAGAGAAAAAATAATCATTTTAACCAAATATTCTATTTAATGACTTTCTCTGTCGATAAACTACATACATATGTATATAAAAGTATGCTATTATATAATATTTGTTATAAATCGCATGATATTGTATATTTTATAAACAATATTAAGCATATTCAAATAATATAATATAAAAATTTTTATACAAATACATACAATACTGAATATTATATTTTGTTTAATTATAACTTAATTTATAGAATCTAACTTAATGGTAAATCTTTATAACTATATGAGTATGTATCCATAATAATATAAAAATTCCCTCTTGAACCTTTCAATATCAGATACAATTAAAATAATTAAATTAAATCAAAATAATCCTTTTAAAATTATAAATATGCAAATTTAAATATTTAAATCCCTTTTTAAAATATATATAAAAAAAAATAAATAAATAAAAAACAATTATATAAAAAAAAGGATTTTATACCAAGAAGTTTTACACAGACAACACAACTATAGCAATTTAATTTAGTTTTAAAAAGCAACTGACCTGAAAAATTTGATTTTACAAGGAATGTATAATTATTATTGTATATATATTTATTTAATATTTTCATGAATATTACTTATATACGTAATATAGTATATCTTCTTTAATATGTAAATTATTATCCTTCGTTAACATAATATCCTTGTGTAAACATAGCAAAAAAAAATATTATAAAAATAATAAAAAAAAAATTTTTTTTTTTACTGAAGAATTATTCAAACTTTATACAATTATAATTCGCTTTGTTCATTCTTAAGTATATGCTAAGAATAAAGATTATATAGTCCTTTTAAAGAAGGATAGTATATACTTGTAATTTAATATAAAATTTAATTTAATAAAAATTATTAGCATATTGAAATTAAGACTGATATATTTTATAATTGTTTAAGTTAGTGAACAAGAAAAAACAAATAATATAAAAACTAAAAATATTTAAATGAATAACTCCTATTGTTCTATTATATACGATTTAGATTCAAATTTACAAACCATCACTGTTTACTAATAAATTTCTCAAAACTTAAATTTGTTGTACAAGATGAGTGTTTTTCACATGAAAAATTCAAATACGAACGTAAAAAAAATAATAACCGTTTGAACAAACGGTTCCTCAAATCAATAATTTTAACTAAAATCATTGAAGTATTAAAGCTTGAGGATGTATGGGTAGTCTTGCTTATTTCGTAAATATTTTAAAATTAAATTTTATAGGGTGTATTTTTTTTAATTTTTTCTTTTGTGTTTTGCAGTCACCAGTCTTAAATCAGCTCAGTTTGCTTTTTCATCTCCCCATTAAGTTATTCGAAACTACAATAGCATTCGAAATTAAGTATTAAAAATTAAATATTAATAAAATATTAATTAAGAATTCATTCCCATTTCCATTCAACAGCGATGGCACTTTTTGGAAACAATATTATATGAAGGTGTTCCGATTGAAAAAGGTGCGACAAGAAAGGTTCAAATAAAAAAACTCAAAGGTATACATAATGAAAACTTAAGAAGATATATTTAAGAAAGAGATAGCCATGGCAAGTATATAGATTCAAAAAAATATTGCGTATAAAATGCAAATTTAAAAACTAAACTGTTAAAAAGTAACCCGTTATATAACATATTCATGATAAACAAAGTTATAGCTACCTAAAATATATAATAAACAATTATTTAGACATTATTATTTTAATATTGATTTAAAATTATTAAGGAGCACATCAACTTTCCCTAAATTTTTTATTTTTTGTATTTTACCAAATTACATCCATACTTATAAACATTTAGAAATTTTCGATATTAATATACAAGCTGGTGTATTGTATAAATGCTAATTTCTTCTACAAAGAATTTTATTTAATTATTTAATAAGAGTTTTTAAGATATGCTTACGTATTTAGCTAAAATTTAAATACTTATCGCAATATAAAATACATAAACAGTAAACAAACCTTTATTAGACCCAAAAATAATGGAACATCTTCATAAACAAATTTTGGAAAATTCATATCACGTAACACACGCATTAAAACGACAGCTTCTGGTGCATCACCAGATGTTCTTTTTGCAACACCGGCCATTCTTAAAACTGAATTCAATGAACGTAAACCCCAATCATAATGACATTGTTTTGATAATTGTTCTTGTGCCAGTTTATATAAAACAGTCATCTTTTTTGCCAAGACCTTTTTTAAAAAAAAAAAAAGAAAAATACTAAAATTACTGAAAAATCGAATATGAAAATTTTAAAAAGCAGAAGAATAACACATTGAGTTTATTGAATTCAAGTTTAGAAAATGCATACAATTAAACTCATTTTATAATTTTTACAATTAATTATCGACCGAAATTCGGTTATTGACTTAAGCAACCGAAGCTTATTCAATATTAAACACTAATATCACAAATTAAAAGAAATTTCATTTGCTAACATCAAATTCCAAAAATTTTTATTGAAATTTTTCTTTCGCTACAAACAAGTGACGAATTTTTTATTAGTCTTAAAATACGATTTTATCGACATTTTATCTTATAAAAAACAATATATACTCGTAATGTGCACACTTTACAAAATTTCGTTAGAAATATTTTCTATTCAATTGTTATTCAGTCTCATATTAGTTTTTATTTACAAAGTAGTTGAGAAACGTATAGGACACAAAACTTAAATAAAATGAAGTGTTTAGAGTTCTCCATATAAAACTTTAAGAATTTTTCGCCAACAATATTTTAAATACATATTTACTATTAACTATACTATTATTTTATATTCTAACTATATTTTTAGTTCGTTTTCTTATGTCTTATATTTTCATCAACTAAAAATCTTTGAAAAGTTTTAATATTTTAGTTGGTTATTCCAGTGAAATAATAATTTGTTCTTTTAAAACTTTTACTTTTTATTGTAGGGATAATTTATTTTTAAAATTTATTAAAATTAAGTTACTTTCGCTTTTGGTGTAGAAAAAATTTTATTAGAAATTAAAAATGTTGCAAATATCACAAAAGTAAGCTGACTCATTAACCGTAAAAGTTAACCCTAGCAAAACAAGTTTTTTTTAAATTTGAAAATTCTGTGAATGTAAATTTTGAAGATGGGCTCGTTTAAGTTTATTAGTAGAATAAGTTTATTAGTAGAATTGCAAATTGGTAGAATCAGTAGAATTAGTAAATTTCATTCGAACCCATCAATGCAGAGATTCCTTAATAATAATCACGATATAAAATTGAGATTACCCGAAAATTTCTTTTTTAATTTCTATGGAGCACAAAATTTGAGAAAAAATAAAATATTTTTCATGTGTGCACATCATATTAGAATCTTAAAAAACCAAGAATATATTTTGAAGGCCCCTTGCTGTTCGAAAACTTTTTATCCCATTCTTTTTCTATTTTTTTAAATATATTGCTTGTTAAAAAGGATTCTATAAGATGTTTTTAAAATAAAACTTTATAATAAAAGTTCTGATTTGTTTTTAATATTTGCTATATTCATACATGATGTTCCTTCTAAAAATATAAATTTTTGTTTATTCCAAAAAAGAAATAAGAAAAAAAAAATGTAAATGAAGTTTTTGAAAAGCAATTAAATATTTTGGTGGTGAATTTAGAGAAACTAAACAAATATGTACTCATGTAATAGTTTTAGTTTATGATAGAGGATACTTTGAAATTGAGCATGTGTGATTTAATAAGATTTTATTTGGACAATAAATTTAAATATTGTTGTGACAATATGATCATATAGATGAGCTTATATAATATTATATATAGGTCAAATGAGTGTGAAGTTTTAAGAAGACTAAAAGAAAATGTATGAATTTTAAAAAGTTAGCAAGAAAAAATTTTTGTTTTAGTAAAAAGTTTGTTAGAATAATGTCAAAAATTTTAATAATTATATTTATTTTTTGAATTGCTCACTAATTAAGTTGATAATGCATTATTAAAAATTGTTTTGCGTTGAAGTATAAGAAATTATAATGTGGATTGAGTATACATATACCCTCCAATAATAGCATAAGAGAAATTAAAATTAATTTTACCTTTGCAGTTAAGAATCCATCAGAAAATAATGATATTAAACATATCAATTCTAAATCTGGTTTAATACATGTAACTGGTCTGAATAATGCTTTTACAGATTCCGGAAGCTCAGTTCGTCCAGCATAACCGGGATTCATTGTAATAAAAACACCAACTTTTGAATCTAATGATATCATATTGCCTTCAAACTAGAAATAATTTCAAAATAAAATTTCAAGTTAAAAAAGTAATAACACACCCACACCTACCAAAAATTCTTTCAATTTTCTAATCAAGGCACTTCGAATCGTTTGTAATTGTGTTGAGATTACACTCAAAACAGATATATCAATTCGATTAAATTCATCAAAACATCCCCATGCACCACACTGCGCAATTCCAGCTAATATTGTACCAAATGCCAAAAAATCCATACCCTCACCACAATTTGTAACAATACATAATAAAGCCATAGCTTTAGCTAAATCTTTTGTTGTTTCAGTTTTACCAGTGCCAGCTGGCCCAGCTGGTGCTCCACCCAAATTCATTAATAGAGCTTGTGTTATTGTTAAATATATTCGATCAGTTAATGGTGTTATTACTAAACGTCCATTTAAACCCATATATTCATAACCATAATCAAAACGTCCAGTACATTGTACAACATACAAGTTATCAAATTGTTTAATCCAATAAAATCGTAATTGACTTTCCCAGCTAAATGCTTGAGCATCCAATATATTATCACGAACAAAAGTTTCAATTATATCACGAGCATGAACATCAACGGTTGTTATTGTTTTAAATTTTGCTCGATCATTATTAGATAAATTTGATCGAACCTTATATACCAATTCTTCAATCTGTTTGTTTTGTTTTTCTAAATATTCTTTCATAGCTCTTTTATTACCTTTTTTAATTTTTTCAAATACTTCTTCAACTTCAGCTGTCCACCAAACTCCATTACCAGCTAAACAAATCATACCTTGGTATAATAATATCCAATCAGCTCTTAAAAATAAAAGATTAAACTCGTTATAAATGTATATTAATGAAAGTTATAGAACTAGTTTGTTGAACCATGCTAACTTAGATTAATACCTTGCTCTTTCGAGGTTTTTTCCATAATCATAAATTGCCTTTTTCGTTATAAACCGATTTGTTTTTCTCATTTCTTCTAAAACAATGTTCATCCATTCTTCAACACGTCCAGTTGCATTAACTATAATTGTCATTAAATTAACAATAAAAGTAGATATTCTTTAAGAAAACAATAATAAGCTAAAAAATTATTATTTTCTGTTTTGATTACCGTTATTTCTAAGTTCCATAGTTTCACCCTCACTTGATACCATTGCTATTACTGTTGGTAAATTCATAGAATCGTTAACAAACTTTAGTGATTTTATATTATCGTACATCTGAAAAGAATAGCAGAAGAAGAAGTATACCAAATAATTGTAGAAAATAAGCATGTAAGAAAATACTGCACGATTTAATTTTAAGTACGTTATATGATAAATATGTACGTACTTTAATGATATGATCTTGCACGGCAGTCGGTTCACTGCTGCCTAAAATTGATAGCAATTCATCTGTAGAGATAAAATAAAAACGTGGAAAAATTCTCCTTTTGCTATCCAGATATTCATTGAGAGATTTTTGGCATTTATCTAGACCAATACTAAGATTTTGTAGTTCTTGTAAACGACCATCATCACTACATAGTGGTATAATAAGTTGATTTTTCGCACATTCCATCATTATCTATATTAATAAATAAAATATATAGAAATCAGACTTTGAAATAATACGAGTACCATATATAGAGAAGAAAAATTAAATTTTCATTGAACTGATTTCTATATTCTATACAATTTAAAATTATAAAATGAGGAACAACTGAATTTTATAATCAGCTGAGACCATGACATTTACAAATGTTCGCTTAAATTCCTGCCTACACAAATTTTGCTTCAGTTTTTAAATATTATATGAATTATTTTTCTTAAAATCAAATTTAATAAAAAAATTTGTAATTTTTAACCAAAATTATTTTCAGTTTCAGTGAGTACAATTATAAGTTGTTTTTCATAATTTACATTTGTTCTAATCTTAACCCTCTTAGAAAACTTTCTCTGAAAATTTATAAATTTACAGTTCAATATAACAAAGATCCCTTATTCATACTGATTATTATTAAATTTTGTTTTATTGCCTCTAATTTATTTACTTTATTATATAAATCTATAAGTTTTCAGTAGAATTATTTCTATATGAAAGTTCTCAATTAGGTCCTGAAATTTCTATAATTGATTCTCGTCCATCCTAAATAATTTTAGTATAGCTACATTTTCAAATATTTTTTATATTATTTAAATTATTTAAATATATATATAAATTTATATTTCTTTTTTCTAAACAATATCTTCAAAATAAAAGGAGGAAGGAGATGAAAATAACAATTTAGAAAAGAAAAACACAAAAAACAATAATAAAAATACGATTATTACTCGACGATAAACTTTGTCAATATCATCAAATTTTTTTGCTTCTTCGGGCAATTGAGTTCTAATGTCACCTCCAATAAATATTCCTTCTAAATATAACCATTTTCTTTGACAAGCCATCCATTCATCGATGACCTCATACACCAAAGCTAAACAACGTTCCCATTTTAATACGGTTTGTAAAAATGGTCCAACGAATCTGAAAATTTATAATAAATTCAAAATAAATAAATAAATAAAAATGAAACAAAAAGAAAATAAGAAATAAAATGGTTATAAAAATAAACAAAAATTAAAATGAAAATTTATATTTTATATTTAAATTAAGAGCAAAAAACAAAAGGGAGGGAAAATCTGAAAAAAAAAAATTATTTTTTAGAATAATTTTCTCAAATTGAAAATTCTTATTTTTTCATATTAGAATGGTCCGCGCTCATAATTAATCTTTTGAGCATAAACTTTGATTACAAATTTTAACCTTGGAGTTATTCTACTAGAAATGAATTCAAAATTGTATATATACATATTTATATTACATGTATACAACATACATAAATATATACATACTCGTATAAGGAAATAAAATTATTTCCAAAGAAATTTCTCAAATTGCGATTAATCATTACAGTCAAATGTTTTTAAAAGCATTAAACCCTTACTCAACTCAATTTTATTATTAATTTTAATATATTTAAAAATTTATCTTATAATAATCATAAAATTATAAGTATATTTTGAAAACTTACTGTGAAGTAGCCATTGACTGTAAATTCATTGAGTTATCTTCAAGTACTTGAATAATTTCATCAACAGGAGCTAATGTATAGCCTCTATCTTCGTTTGCCTTAAAATGTTTAATAACTTTAAATGACATTTTCGCCCAAATTTTTTCGATTTCCTTAACACCTTTCTCAATTCCAAGCTCCTTATTTCCATTATTAAGAATTTGTTCAGCTACATCCTTAAATTAAATTTGAATTGTAATATTTGTATACTCGAAAAACAAAGATAGAAATATTTTAGTAAAATTTTTATAAAATTTAAAAATACCTAAGAAATTTATTTTTCATAATTACCCTTGAAAAGTTCACATTTATTTTACCTGGTATCGATGTAATTCCATTTGAAACATATTTTGTAATGTAAATCTATCAGCTCTCATATCAAAATGTATGCCAGTTTTTTCCATTAAAAGATGCCAATGCCGTTCCCTAAGTGCCTCACTTTTTAAACTTATCATTAGTGGAACAGTGTTCTTAAATTGCTTCATCTGTAACTCTAATTCTTGGCCAACATTTAAACTACGAATCTAACAAAGAAAATATTAATTTATTTACATTAAAAAAAAATTGTGAAAAATTTTATTAAGACATTCAAAGACTCCGTGAGTCAGGATTAAATATCACAAAATATAAAATGGGAGTGTAAATTTTATGATCAATTAAATTTAAAATGAAACCAGAACACGATACGTCAAAAAACATTTCTATTTGCTCCAATAACTTAACAATACAAACTTCAAACTAAACTTTTTAAACCAAAAATTTAGATGGAAACTTTAAAAGAAGTTGCTTTAAAATTAGGTTTCCTCTAAAAATTATTCTATTATATTAGAGTAGGTAATTGTGAAAATTGTTTTAATTGTCTGAAAATATAAAAAAAAAGTTCTTACTTCGTGGAATTCATCGTAAAAATTTCAAAAATTATAAATTTTTTCATTAAAAGAAAATGTGTGAAAGAAAAGATTTCGAAGATTTATTATGGATAACGGTAATAACAATTAATTTTGGTCTAGTCGATTATCAAGTAGGTTATAGGATGGGCAGTACATTTTTTACTGAAAAAAAATTATCTAACATTATTATTTTAGCATATTAATTGAAAACAAAAATAATGCATAGTAAAAACAAAGTCCGTCTGTATTTAACACAGTTTTTGAAAATCGTAACTTTGTGGTTTAGCGATTAAGACTTTCGGACTCAGAAGACATATTGTTTTTTCAATTGAAAAGTTAGATTTATTTATGATATTTGCTTCATTGTTTAGAATATCGTCTGCAAATTGGTATTATTTGTGAATAATCACTAAATTTCACAAAAAGCTCTGAAAGAAAATAGATCTAAACAGGAATTTTGTTAATATATTTCAATTTTAATAACCTAGTAGAACTCAATTTATATTGGCTTCGAATCTTATTTTTGTAAAAATACCCTTGACTTACAAGTGAATTTCATAAACAAATTTTACTATCCAATATTGTCCAACATCTACTTACAAACGGCTATAAAAATCTTTATTTTCAACAATTTTTTATATCGCTCAGAATCATCCTGTTTATAAAATATAAAAAAAAAATTTAGAAAAGGCAAAATTTTTAATAAAATTTTAGAAAGAAAATTAAGTGGAAAAGATATGAGCCATTTCAGTACCTCAATATACCCTAATTATAACAAATGATATCTTGTTAAAAAAAAGTTTAAAAATCATTACTTCCCGTCCAATTATTTTGTTTTTTTTTTTTGGTTTCTCATTTCTCTTTTCCCGGATTCGAATAGGCATCATTATAATTTTCTTTAAATTTTTTTTAATACTTTTTAGTTTGTTTCTCCTTTTCCTTTATGTCTTACACATAACGTTGTATTTCTAATAATTATTTGAAAAAGTTGAAAAATAAAATTTTTTTTATGGCGATCTTAAAACTTTTTAATAAAACATTTAGAACCCTACCTAACTTATATTAATTTTCCGCAAAATTTTCTTTAAAAGTCAATTCCTATACTTCTCAATGGCTATTGCAATGATGAACTGGTTAAATAAAATACTGGACTTTTATGTATGCTATAATATTACTTTTTGGAAATCCTCGTAATTGAAAAGTTTGGATTTTTTATGACTTGACACAATGAAAAAGGTATTTAATTTTTTTTTAAAATGATTTTATTTTATCTCACCCATATTCTGTGAAAGACTTCATTTCAGGTAATAGGATAGTATTCAAAAGTATTGAGATTTTCCGAATTTAAAATTTTCATTGATACGTCCATGAGAATACATGGGTAGCGTATATATTTTACAACAGTTTTGCACATTTTGTGTGATAAAAATTAATAAAGCAATAATTGTAAAAAAAAAATTTTTAGCAATCAAAATAATTATTTTAACTTCTATAAACAGAAATTGCGATCATTTAATTTAATTTAAAACGAGAAAAGGTAGAGTTGTCCATGTCAACTCTTCGATACCGGTACGATTTTGTAATCCTATGGGCGAACTAATATGCCAAAGTTGACTATAACACAGATGGACTACGACTTTAAGTTGTCGTATTAATTTACTCAAATTTTAAATAGTTTTCAAGATAATTATCAAACAAATATTGAAGTTATATGGCAGCTACCAGAAAGGATCAAGAAATTTCAATGAGCTTTATTACACTTGACAGCCCTTATATTATATTTGATCCCACAGAATTTCGATATTTTAGCTTCAATAATCTCTCAGATAAAACTAAATTACTTTTAAAATTTTATGGCAGCTACTCGAATTACTGATTCGATCAGATCCAATTCAAATAAAGTTCCGGCATTTATTATTATAAATCATTTGTGAAAATTTGATGGTCCTAGTTCAATTAGTTTTTGAGTTATCGCTGGGACGGACGGGCGGACGGACACATATGGTTAAATCGACTCAGAATCCGACACTGATCAAAAACATATTCTTGAGTCTATATCTCGACCCTTATTTCTTAGCGTTACTAACGGTAAGGAAAATATAGTGTATCCTTCGAACATATTTTCGTTCGAGTATAATAAAATAAATTAAGTTAATTTAAACCTTTGATTATGAATATGCTTTCGAAAAATACTGCAATAATATCATGCAATATTAAGCAGCATATTATTTGTCGAAGTAATTTTTATTTAGTAGTTATTTTCGGTAATTATAATAAGTAACTTGCGCCCGTTACTATATTACCGTTAAATAGACTAGAAAAATTAATGTAAATAACCTGTAAATTATTAATGTAAATAACATGTAAAGTGAGCGTAATAATTGGTGATAAGTTATTCATTATTAGCAACTTGGCCATATGTATTAAAAGGGTTAATATTGAAATTAAAGCGGTTGTTTTAAAACTGCAAATAGTTATTACAAATTTAATATATTAAATTTTAACAATATGAAAAATCTTAACTTAAATATTTATATGCAATTTTTTTAATATAACCAAATTGGATATAATTTGGAATATTTATATTGGAATATATTTGGAAAAATAAATTATCACTTTACTTATAAATACTTAATTTACATTATGTACGAGTGTATACTTGAAAAAGTGCAATCAAAAATTCAGAGTATAGAAAAATAGATTGGCATTAAAAGTTAGTTAGTAGTAATCAAATATTTAATATGCTTTTTTATTGTGACATAAAATGTAAAATCTACTGATTTTCCTATTTAAATCAAATTCAAGAGTTTTTTGAACGATTCATCAAACTTCTCAGAGGAAAAAAGCAATTTTTAAGTGCAAGGTTATTTAAGCTACCGACTCAATTATGTTACATATTATGAAGCTATAGGAAAGATCAGCGGGTTACTCTTACAAAGAAGTTTACCATAGTTTTAGTAATTTTAGTCTTATAAAAACGAAAATTAAATAAATTTTATATTTTTAAGGCGAAACTATTCTCTAATTTTCTATTTGCAAACTAAAATAAATTTTCAAAAGTAAATTTTCTTGCAAAAAAAAAATTTAGGTTTCTTTCCTTTTCAAAATACCAAAACGATAAGTACATTGTAAGTGCCTAAATAAAAATCCTCTCAAATATTTATGCTTTTTGATTGAAAAATTCTTTAATTTATTATTCAAAAGACTTCATAAAAAAAGACAAAAAAAAAATCTGAAAATAATTAAAAAAGAAAACTTTTCTTTTTTCTGTTTCTATAAGAGTTAAGAAAGTAGGAAAATAGTTAAAAAAAAATAATAATTTTCCTTTTCTATTTCATTTTTGTCACCTTTCCAAAAAAGTTAAATCCTCAATTGTATTAAAACGTTATAAAACATACAAAAAACTGAGAGAAAACAATGGAAGATAAGTAGATATAGAAGATAAGAGAACAAATAGAAAAAGGAAAATTTGCAAAAGAATAAAAAAGTTATGGAACTTCAACTTCCGTTACTTTGATAGGTAAACTAATTAAAAACTTTATCAATTATTTACTTACCGGTTTTGGAAGTTTACGAAATTCTTTTAGGTACATTTCAATTCCTTCAGTTAATACAAGTGGATCTAAATCAATCCATAATGTTTTAGCCCATGTTTCACGACCCAATCGTTGCTGCTTATATAATCGAAATATCTAAAATAAAAAATTGATAGGTAGGTATTAATTACATTGAATGATTACAAAATAGAAAATTTACAGTTATAACTATAATGAAAAAGGTGCTAATTGATCGTGTAATAGCGGCAAAATTAAATATTCAGATTTTAAAAATATTGAAAGAATTTATTGAGTACCGATCCAAATAGATTCTATGGTTAAACGAATTATTTCAGTGTACAGTAAAATTAATAATTTTAATTAATTTTTATTAAATATCGCCTCAAAAAAAAATTTAATCCCTCACAGCTATGGCTACTTCAACATCTACTTAGGGCATCTACAAAGCTTCGCCATCTGACTCTGTTCTGTGCCATTTCTTTTATTTCGGACCATGCTTTACGGGCACTCCTCACCTCTTTTTCTACTGATCTGCGCTATGTTTCTTTGGGTCTGCCTACTCTCCTTCTACCCTGCGGATTCCATTCAAGGGCCCTTCGTGAAATGCTACTTACTGGCCTAATGTGGCCAATCTAGCCCCACTTTCTTCTTCTGATCTGAAACTGTGATAAAATTCTCTTACAAATATAGAATGAACTTACATGAGACATTCCATCAAAATCTGCTCGACATTTTAAGTAATCAGTGTAGTCCGTAAGAGGCAAATCAAACAATTTTTCTGCACTGGCTGTAAAAATGAAAAAAAAAAATTAATATGACATTAATATCAATTTGATTCATAAATTATAGCATTGTTTACGTTAATATTAATTTTAATATTTATATAGTAAACCATTTTACTAGTTCTACCTCCAAACTAGAAGTTAAGCAGAACAACCCCCTGACTTCCAAACTGAAGTAATACTGTATTACAACACAATTCAGATAAACAATGCTAATTGCTTTTTATTTGTGTAAGCCGCACAATATTACTGCAAATCGGATGTGAGTGTTACTCCACAAAAATGGACAATTTTCTTAAAATATTTTCCTTTATTATAGGGAATGTAGACGAACATAATAACATTACAGAAAATCTTTGAAGCAAAGCAATTATAACCTTTTATTAAAAATTATTTTTTAATAAATTTTATTAAAAATTCATGGAATATTTTTAAAATTTAATTAAAATAAACAGAATTAAAAAATTTATTGTGTAGATGCATACATACACACTTATCTGTATATTGTAAATATTGTATATAAAATAATTTATTTAGAATTTCCCTAAAATAATTTCCCCCTCAAAAAAAAAAAATATTGAACTGTTTTCTTTATGATTCACTTAAATTTAAAGTAATAAATTGATTTTTTAAATATATTGAAAACAAAAATGAAAAAAACAAAAATTGAAAGATAAATTGACGTTGTCTCAACGATGTAATCAATGAAGGTGGAACTGAATTATGACCTCATTCTTTCTTTTATAATTCTTCAAAAAGGATCTTCATTCTTCTGCCAAATTGAGAAGCAAGAAAATAATATATACTAAAAAAAAAAGGTTTCGTGTTTATTGAAGTATAAAAGAAAATAAAGGAAAAATTTCATAACTAAAAATTGAGAAAAAAAAATTTCCTTTTTTTTTCTTGTCGTTCTTTTATTTGAAAATCATATAATTAATCATTAAAAGTGCCCACTTAATATCAGCCACAATAAAAACAAAATATCACCATCCATCTTTTGATTATTTACTTTTCTAGATGACAATAGAGACTGCCTGATTCCTCATTTTCTTTGTTTCTTTTTTTTTGCTTTTTTATTGTTAAAGTCAGGAAAGCAATTTTTTGCTTTTTATTTTTTTAAAAAATAAAACCAATTTACAACAAAAAAAAAAAAAAACAATTCTATTCTTTCTTTCATTCTTTATAAGGAAATCGAACAAAATAATTGAAAATGTAATGAAAAAAATATTTTTTTTTTATTAAAAATTTATAAGAAAAAACAACAATAAAAGAATATTTTATTGGTTAGAAAATCGTATAAAAGAATAACGGTTTTAGTAAAGGATTTCCTTTGTTCAAATAAAATAAGAAAATTCACCTTTAAGTTCATAATAACTTTAATTTCTTTTTTTTTTTGTACTGGGCTATACTTTGTATATCTACGTTACAGAATTATTTTACTGAAAGAACGTATTTAAATAAGAAAAAGTTTAGAGCATATGGTGTCCGAAATGAAATGAACCCTTATTTATAACTATAAAAAATTTCGTGTAAATTATATTTAGTGTGAAAGAGACATTTGGAACGTAAAAACGTTCCAAATTTACGTTACAAAATGGTTTCATTAAAAAAATTGTATCCCGGTATTTAACTTGAAAATTTTTATTATAAATCAACGGTTTGTGTGATAACAAGCAACAATTTTCTAAGTCCTTTATGGCAGTTTTAATACTTTTAACAAATACTTATAAAAACCACAATAGTTTTTGTTAACAAATGAAGTCTGAACTTTGAATTCTGAACTAAAAGCCATATAATTTTAAAGATTATATGGTTTTTGATCAAACTTGTTCAAAATACGCGCTTCGTTCATAGGTTTTATATTATAAACGAATAGGTTAAAGTTTATAATAGCAACATGCAGAAATAAACAAATAAAAAAAGACTAGGTAAGATAGAAAAATTAAAAGAAAAATTCTCAATTTGGACTTGAACTATCGGTCTACCCCTTTCTAAGATGATACGAAATGAGCTATTGAATTAACAGAGTTATGAGGAAACGTTGACAACTCTTCAACCGAGCTGCAAAAGTGTCAAAGATGAATGCTTTTTCGAACTGGTTTTTTCTCGAAACCACAGAAATACATGAATTCAATAATAATGTCAACAATTGAATGTTTACACATCATGTTGTGTTAATCAATTATTCTGCTATAACTAACTTGTATTAGTTTTTCTTTAAAGAATCAATTAATAAAATTTTAAAATTAAAATTAATATTTCATTCCATAATTGAAAGCATTTAATTTGTCAAACACGTAAAACGCATTTTTCTTTTTGCTTTTTTGTTTTTAATATCAGAAACAGTTGACAGATTTAACGAGAATAATATTTTAATAATAACAGTAATAATGCTAAACAGGAAAAAGTAGCTAAAAACCATTGATTTACTCAATAATGTGATAATATAAAAATGTTAAAATTTTATCTGTTATATTTATAATTTTTACTTTCTCATGATAAAATCAGTTTTTTTTGTCAGATTAACATGATATATTGGTAGGATACAGATTCAAGAGCAATTATTTGTACAATTTCATATATCTATTTTTTTGTTTTTTAAATAAATACATAAATTGTGATTAATTCTCATCGTAAATTACTTTAAATCAATCGTTAAAGTCAATAAGTTAAAGTGATGATTTGCAATAAAATAAATTTGAATCAACAAATAATAATATATGGTACTTTATCATTTGCATTAATTCTTTAGTAATAAAATTGACGATTGCAGACTGAAAAGCATTTTATTTTGGAATTAATTCCATCCTGCCAGGAAGAGTCGTCTAATAAAAAGTTTTAATATTTAATATTATATTTTGTGTAAATCACAGAAGTCATTCTATTGCAATCTTAGATGACGCTTGATTTCGAAAGCAGTGATAACATTTACGTCATTTTTGCTTGAAAGCACTTCTAATTTCTAATTAGATATTTTTAATTATATTCCAATTATAATATTAGAGAATGCTCTTTTGTTTACTAAAAATGAATAAACTCACAAACAACTTAACCCGACATATTCCCCTCTATTATGAACATCGGTATCGGCCGATATATTATCGGCAGTTCTAATCGGTTTTAGGTTTCTTCTGTATTATGAACCGATACCGATAAAAATATTTCAACCGATTAAAAGAAGCTTTTTCATACAAATTTTTGTTTTTGTAAATTGGAGAAAAAGTTTTTTTTTTCTAATGACATTTGTTTTCTTTCAAAAGTTATTTTCAAAAAATTTTTAAAACTATTTTGAATTTGGTTTTGATGTGCTAAAAAGTTGTTGTAAGCAAATTATTTTCTGTTAAATTTGTAAAATAAAAATATACATATATCGGGAAAATGTCGCGTGCATTATATTTTGAAAGTGAAGAAACGGTAGTAAGTGAAGAAACGCAAGCTATTCAAAGACGACATATAAGAGATTCCATTTTTGTTGTTTGTTGCTTACGATTTTACTCCTAAATAAAATATATGAATAACATTTTGAAAGAAAATAATTTAGAAAAAATGCTTACATTTTGAAAAAGCAATTAATTACACCAGTTTCCTTGATAAAATGAAGATTTTACAAAAAAAAAAATCTGTCGTCTAAAAATTTGTACCCGCTTTTAAATCGGTGAAAACCCGACAATTTATCGTTTTCATAATACCAGCTAATACGTTTCCTATACAGGGAAAAAAAGCTTTCCCGACTCCGATAAAATTTACCGATAAACGGTAATACAAACGCAAAATTTTGCCGATAAATTATCGTTTATCGGCCGATACCGATATACATAATAGAGGGGATTATTAAAAATATATGAGGACATATAGAAAATAATTCAATTGCATTTCGTTTTAAACTCTAATTTAAAATCTAAATAGTTTTAAAACCGAATAAAACTACTTATTCAAAGCAAGTTGAATGTAATATATTGTTTGTTAAAAATTGTTCTAAAAGACAAAACTTATTTCAAAATTGTTGAAATAAATATAAACTCCTAAAAATAGGCAATTTTAGCGTAATATAAAAATGACAACAAGTTTATTAATGACAAAAATGACAAAAATTATTGTAAAAAAATATTCGTATTTTTGTCATACAACTAAAAGATACTAAATAAATGGGAAGATTTATGTATGGAAATCAATTTTTAATTATTTTATTAGATATAATATTATAAGATGTCAATCAATAGCCATTTTAAGCTAATTTACAAAAGAAATTGTATAAAATTATGCATAAAATATAAATAATTACAATTATTTTACCTAATTCATATCGTCTGGCTTCAATATTTTCAAATTTTTGTCCATAGGTTTCCATTAATTTTACTCCTCGATCTAAATCAGTACCAACAGATCCAGGTCCATTTTTTTCAAAATCTTCGATGAAATTTGTCAACTATATTGTTTTTTTTTTATTTATTTTTATTTATATTTTGCAATAGTTGTTGTAATTTATGTGTTATTTTCATTTTATAAATAATTTCCATCGTTGTTCACATTATTTTCAAGTTTTTATTGTTATTTTGTTTTTTTTTTTTTACAATAAGATAAACGAACCGTGGTTGATGGTGTCCGTAACGAACCAATTCATTTATTCCGTTATATTTTGTATGATTTTATTTTTTTTATTTTATTATTTTTTGCATTTTGTTTTTATATAAATTTCAATAATGAAACAATAGAATTCGTTTTTTTTTTAAATGAAAATATATAAAAAGAAAAAGAGAAAAATATTTTTTTTTTCGTTAGAAGAAAGGAATTATAAAGAAAGAAAGAGAAAAACATAGAGCGCAATAAAAAAAAAGAAAACAATTTGTGATGTGATGAGAAAAAAATCAAGAAATTATAATGAAATAACAGTAAAAATGAATAAGAAAAAAAAATTAAATGAACGGTAATATATAACGATATAGATAAATAAAAATAACGGGAAAAAATTTAACACAAAGAAAATAAAAAAAAAAGAAAAGAAAATTGGCATGAAGAAAATTACAAAGCAAAAAGAGAAAAAAAAATTATAAAAAATTAAAATTATGTAAATAATAGAAAATAAAAAAAAGGAGAGCGAGAGTTTACGGAACAAAAAATAAAGTTATTACGTAAGAAAAATTTGTAAAAATAACGAGAGAAGAATTTCCGGTAAGAATAGAATGATGATGAGCAATAATAAAAATCGAAAAAGAAAACACAATGAATAAATACAAAAAAAAAAATAATATGGAGAAATGAACAATAACAATGACCGCGACAACACAACATCAACAATAACAATAGTAATAATAACATTGATATAATAACAATAATGATGATGATAACGACGATGATTTTGATGACATAGTTTGGTTTTTTTTTTAATATAAGAGGCGAAATATAAATATGTACAAAATAGGATAACATACAAAATTATATATCAAAACATATTTGCATACATATATTTATGTACATATTTTTTTTATTATTAAAATCAAAACAACATCCAAGGATAGTACAAATAAACACAAAAATCGTTATATACGAAAAAAATATATTTATATACATAAATATTAAATATAAAATTTTTACATTGTTAGTTAGTTAAAAATAAAAAAATAATATTTGTGAAGAGGGCGATAAAAATTAAATAATAAAAATAAATATAGTATATATTGTATGTACATATGTATATACATATTATATGTATTTGTAGTTTATGTTGCAATAATTTTGTTTTGTTTTATTTAACACAATTTTTATTTTTTCCATCACTGAATATTTTTTTTTTTATATATAATTGCATAAAAATTTATTTGTTTTTATATAAATTTTATTTTTTCAAAATATACCTATATGTTTTTTATACAATGTGTTATATAACAAAAAAAAACAATGTTGTATAATATAAGTACTCGTATAGTAATTGTGTTTGCAGTAATATTTTTTTTTATATAGAATTTTAAATTAAAATCAAAACAATAAGCTGTAATCTGCACATTATGAAAGCCAGAAGTCCAAATGAATTAGTGAATATTCGTATACGCACATACCATGTATATGTATATACATATATACTTATAAAAAAAAATTATATTATGTGTATTACAGTACAATGGGAATAGAAAAAAAATGATTATTATAAAAGTATAATAAGAAATAAAAAGCAATGATAACAATTATTGTCTAACTAAAAAAATATACAGTTAGTCAATTAAAATATTTTAAATAATTCAGACTTTGTTTAAAATACAAATATATTTGATAAAACGAATTAAGTATACGGTATAACTAAACGTATAACTAACATGAAATAATTGCTTATATCAAGTAGTTTACCAATATTAAACTGGAAAATTCAAACATCATTTAGCGACAATAAGTGTCAGTTATCTGACCATTGGTGCAGTGGTTATGGAACCGGCCCTTTAACTGAAGGGAGTCGGGTTCAAACCCCGGTCAGGTCACTATAAAAATTATATTCAATATTATATAACTTAATATGGCCACTAATAAATATTATACAAGTAATTTTCAAATATTCATAATATTCGATACTTAAGACTAAGAAAAATAAACAGTAAATATTAATAAACTGAAATATTTAATATAAATAAAAAAAACTACGGTAGGCTAGTCACCTACCTAGTTAACTCTCTATGACTGTAGAAACTAGGGCATGATAGATATCATGCACTAGCCCTATACTCCTTCTAGGAGTGAAGAAGGAAAGAAAAAAAGTGTCAGTTATTATTCAACACAACCATCAATTATGAGAAATGAAAAAATAGATAATTTTTGAGTATATGTGTAAGAAAGGAAAATTACATTGTAACATTCACCTATATTCTATTAGCCGTCTCATTTGAGGTAATGGGATGTTATTGAAAAGTATTCTGTGTTTCAGTATAAAATTAGAAATTTCGAAATTAATTGAATTATTCATAAAATTACAAAAAATTTCCAATTAAAAGAAAATGGTCATAACATACATATGTATATACTTAAGTATAGTTTGAAAATACAACGCATGTTTGTAGAAAATCTTATCAAGCAGACAAAAATTTTAAATTATTATTAAACAATATAATTATTTCTAACACATTCGTTAAGATGTTGACAATAATATCGATAGTCGTATTTCGTTTAGTACAGAAAACTGATACTTACAAAAAATGCTCTAAACCTGAAACTATGTCAGGTATAACATAACATATAACAATATGAATACATGTTGTGTACAACATTAAATGCATATACTCGTACTTATTCTTTCATAAAACATTTAACAATTTTCAATAATTATTAAACATAATTTAATTTAAAATTTTGTTTATATGATTATTTAATATATAAATAGTCTATCATAATACACTCATTATTTGCATAATAATATATAAAGTAAATATGTATTATATAATTTTTATCTCTATAAATTCCATAATAATTCAATTCCAAATACATTTTTCCATCAATTGAGAAATAATTTAAAATTGAAATATTCTCTAATTATAAGCTTTGTGATTTGTTGTAATGTACATGGAAACTATGTATAATGACTATTAAATGAATACACAAAAACCGGAAAGAACTTTTTTATTACATTCAGTTTGATTTTTGTAAGACAAAAAACTACTATAAATAATGCCACTCCAATATTTCAATGAAAACTTAAATGTTTTTTAAAATTATCTTTTATAAAGCTTGATATTTGTCGAGTCAATCTAAAAAAACTATCAGAAACAATATTTTGGGTTATTTATGGATAAATAGTAGAAAGAAACTCATAATCAACAATATTTTTGTATTTAGATTTTGGAAGGTTAAAAAGTTTTTTTACTATACAAAATTTTTTTTCAATTCGTTTCGAAATAAAGAAATTCAAAATGCGTTATGTTTTTTATGCTATTTCTATGTAGAACTTTATAAAGTACCACATAATGTAACGCAAATTTTAATTGGAAAATTAAATGACGAAAACATATTTTTTGCATAATTAAAGAAAATTACTTAAATGTGTACTTTCAGGGTGCTCACGCTCTAAGTAAACTACTATATAACGTCACATTATGAGTTAATAAAGTGTTTTATTTTGAAACCTGATTCCTAGCCCACCAATCGCTTTTACTTTTGCTTTTACTGTTTAAATATTTTTGACTGTTGTGCAACAAAAATTTTAGAAACTTTTTGGTTGGTGAAAGCTAGTCACCTTAAAGTACTTTTTCAAAATTTCACATTTTTGCTAAATTGCTAATTTTTTAGCTCAAGGTCAAGTCCCCGTTAAACTCATAATATATCAATTCTTATGGTTTATCTATCTTACACCAAATCAACTTTATACTTAAAGTTACAATTTCGCAGTATTTTGAAACCTTATTACCAAACCTTGTAACCAAAAGATTCTTATGAGAGAAATGAATGTATGACCATATACTCAATTGAATATATTCAAATCCGCAGGGGTCTATGTATCAGTAAGTAGCATCCCACTTAGAACGGGAACGCCCTGTATACATGACACAAGTTTTTTTTAAAATAAAATTAATTTTTAATTCATAAATGCATTCATTTAATTTGTCCTCATTTAATTCGATTTGCTTTAGGTGATATTTTTATTGTTATACTGTCATTATATAACTGAATTTAAATAAATCAAATTAAAAAAAAAAGAAATTATAAAATACATTTATAAAATATGTTAATTGACATTGTTTCATATTTTGCACTTTTAAAGTAGTTATATACACAAAATAATGCAAAAAACCAATATATAATAATATATGTATATAGACATATAATAAATAAAATGATTAAAGCCTAAAGGTGTACACAATATCAGAACATGTCTGTCACTTCAGTTAATTTTTGTATACAAGAACATCTCGTATAGTTGTGTAACATTTTCTCATAATTGCTTTTAAGAAATTGCGAAAAATTAATTCAATTTTTGTTTTAAAAAATTGTCAAAACATTCGTTTTTTATTTCCATTATTAATATTTTCATTATGTTATTATGTTATCCATATATATTGCTATAAATTTTTTAGGAACATTTTGGTAACAGTTTTGATTAAGTGTTGATTATTGTATGCAATAGGTTTCGATTACTAAATACTAAGCTACAGGTTACTGAATTATTATTGTGATTTTTTAACATTTCGATTCGATAAAAGACGTCATAAATGTTATGTCATTGGTCAAATTTGCATTATTTTAACTTTAGTTTTTAATTGTATGGAAAAAAAAAATTAACAAAAACCTAAAAATAATTCTTTCAATAAAAATAATTAAATAATAGAAGCCATAGGATACAACAAAGAATCAAAGCAATATTGAAAATATAACAATAACTATTCAAAAACAAAAACAAAATAAATATAAAAGTTAACGACCCTTACATCTGTTAAAAATGTTGAAATTTCCACAGAGGTCAAATTAGCAAATTTTTGTTTAATTGGCTGCAATTTTCCCATTCGAAATATCGCTGATCTGAACAATCGCTTCCATTTTTTCTCTAAATAATATGACATTAACATATCAGAATAATTGAACTGTAAATAATATGAAAAAAAAAATAATTATGTTAATATGTTTATTAAAATTAAAATAAAATCATCCTACATGTACAAATACAAATAGAAAAAGTTAATTAATTAATTAAATTTAAAATATTTTTTTTTTGTAATTTCCATATATTATGATTTATTTAATTATTTTGCTTGTAACAATAAAATATGTACAATAATTGATATTAATTTCATTAACCGTTGTGTGATAAGTATTTTAACCTTGCAACCTTATTTTATAAATTTTTATATTTAATTTTATAAAATTCCAATTTTTATTTAAAATTCCACTTAACATTTAAATATTTGTGGAAAATTTAGTTATAAGGATTCTGTAAGGAATTTTAACTGTAAAAAGTATTATGTTCTACTGGTTAAATACTAAATAATATCGATGTTGACAGTCAAATTCAACAATATTGCAAAATAAACTTAAAAAAAAAGAAATGCTAATCTTAAAATAATTCATGTTACAAAATAATTATTTTTTATTAATGAGAAATCAGCTTAAATATTGCAATCTTGCATTTTTTATTGTTATATCTTTACGATATGCTTTAATTAATCCAAATACGTGATTTCATATAATATACATACATATAAAAACATAATATAAAATGTTTTTCTATGAAAATTGCTTATTATATAAAAATTTTACTTTATAAATGTACCTTAATTTCGTGTTCCTTTAAAACATTGAATGTTTCTTGCATTTGTTTAATTTTCAATTCAACAGACAAGGAAGTTGTTTGAATTTTAACTGCAGATGACATAACAGTTTTAAAATCATTCAAATATTTTGTACTGCGATCTACATTCCTCCGCAATACCTTAACCACATAAAATATATAAAATTATATTAAAAAACATTAAATTGTCTGTAAAAGGACTTTTTAACTATAAATATATTCTATATTACAATTTATTTGTATATATTATACATACTTATATAATATATGTATATTAACATTTATATTTATAAAATACACTAATAAATATATAAGGTTTGTATATACACACTCCAAATTCTTCCTCTAAAGTTATCATTGCCTGTTTATTTCTTGCGGCCAATATTTCACCCAATGTATTTTTCCACTCAAGTGCATGTTCACTTATACAATTTGTTAGTGGTTTTAAATTAATTCGTATACATTTGACATCACTATAAGTTTGTGAACGATTTAATTCTTGTATAATATTTGAGTAAAAACGGAATTTTTCATCAATTTGTATTAACGGTAGACCACGATTAATGAATTTTTCACATAATGTTATTTTATCATACATCCAGAGATTACGAAAATTACGAAATCTTGACATGAAATTTAGTAATAAAAATAAAATTAATATTGATTATTTTAATGTAAATTATAAATTAAAGTATTATATTAAGCATTAATGAATATGCACCTAGAAATACAAGTAAATTAAATTTAAAATATTTTAAAACAAAATTGGACGTCCCATTAATATAGTGTCAAGTTGATTCCATTCGAAATATTAAATTAACAAAAATGCAATGTTAAACAGAATTTGATCGTTTGTTTAAACCATGAAATGGCTTGTATGTAGAAGTGCCTTGGGTACGAAACAATAATTAAAAGAAATTTACTCAAATATTATTCACGCGCAGAAAAACACGTTAATCGTTTACATCTTTTTAAAGCTCTTAACTAGCATGCACAATTTCTCTATTACACTAGCTAGATTACACACGAAGTAAAAATTAGAAAAAAATACAAAATTTTTTTTTTTAATCCGACTGGATTACTCCGAAAAATTTTCTCTTGCTTTTTTAAGTAAATGTGATAAATTTTTAGCTGCTGCCAAATATTTTTAAATTTAGCCTGTTTTCGAACCTATCACACTTCGCATTGAGGTCTAGTTTATCGAACTATTTCTTTTTTTCAAAAATTCTATTGTTAGACGATTTCCAAAAAGTTAATGATACAGTAAGATTAATTTTTAATAAAGTTGTAATTGTTAGCTAATAAACAAGTATGACATATTTTAAATTTATCCATTATAGTTGGCAGAAAGAAGATTGCACCAAAATATAACAAAAGGTCAAATATCGGATGTAATGATGGGAAATAACTGCAAAAGTAGAAGACACTTAAGAGTTACTTATTCGATGCTTAGTAGACTGGCATTAGTAGAAGGTTCAAAAAATTATTATTGGGACAAAGTAGTGGCAGCATTAGTTTTTTCATTTTGGTTAGGGAGTGGTTCTTCCTATAGAATTATTGCAATATGTACCAAGGTGTTTGGTATTGTGAACAAATTTTTATTTTCTTTGCGGCAAATGTTTCCAAATATATTAAATACGTTATCCTGATCAAAATTATATTAAGTTTTTTAAGAAATATAGGCTCAAATGTTCATAATACAAAAAAAACCAATGACATTTATGAATTTGTTTATTTTGCAAAAAAAAAAATGCAATATAACAATATTTATTTAATATTATATGCCATAACTTTCACAAATATAAATGAATAATGCTAAAATAAGTCTTTTTATGTTCTGTCGCAATAATTTTGACATTAGAGTTCTATAAAAATATGTACTGATGTAACACTTATTATATTGCGAAAAATTTGCTGACTGTCACAAAATGTTGACCGCCATACGTTCGGAAACAGCCTTAAAAGAATTTTTATTCAATTTTTTTTTAAATATTTCTTATTTTATCAAATCCCTAATTATTTTAAATTGTCAAATATCTATATATATTTATTATTAAATTATATATAGTAAATTTATTATTACTTGAATTTTCTCAGAATTAGCAGATAAATTGGAATCTATTTTGTATAACTGATCTATTTGTATAACTATTTTCTTGAAGCAAAATAATTAACATGTGCTCATATGTTAATATTATTAATAAAACATTATTTGTCGAAACGTATCTATAACTCTTAATTACTTGTTTAAAATTGCTTTGATTTTGTTGCTATAAAATGAATTATAATTGCATAAATATAAACTCACTTTTGTATATAGTTTGATGCTTCCTTCAATGCTCTTTGTGCAATAACTTCAATTTTCTTAATAAGTCCTGTAATACTTTCAAGCTAAAATTATATACAAAATGTTAAGATATTGATAATAATTTTAGGAAAAAATCTGTTTTGAATTCAGGAAGATTTAATACCTTCAAGACAACAATTAATCTGTTCTTTTGTACAAATTGGATTTTACTAATATAAATGTACCTACATGAAAAAAACATAAATATTTACCTGAATAATATCTTCATAAAATGTAAAATTATATTTTTCATTATCTTTAGTTGCATCTTTCATTGGAAGGCATTCTAAACAAGTACCATTCATCCAACGTGTAAAAATTTTCACTCTACAAGTGTTTTAATTTTACATTATTATTTTAATATTGATTTTACACGAAAATACATATATGTATGTACCTATTATAAAACAAATATAGAACAATAGTATTTAATTCAAAGTTTATGGATGCATTGCACTATTGCATATGCATGTATATTCAAGTATACGTAAGTATAAATTTGATATTATACTATAGATTTAAAATTAAATGGAGTATATTAATATAAAATATTTAGTAATTATATTTTTTAATTGTTCATTATGTTGTTAATCTTAGTTTTTATCAAATAATAAAAATAATTTTAACAATAGTTATAATAGAAACTTATTTTGGATTTTCAACTACCTTAATTACACATTTATATACGTATGTAAAATGTTCATATTCATATTTTGGATTATATCTGATATACAATTAAATATTATATAATTTATATATGATCATTATATTAAACAATATTGTACATAATAATTTTGTTTTAATTATAATATTCAATTTTAAAAGCAAATAGTAAATAAATTTATTTATTTTAAATATTAAATAAATATATTTTATTGTTAAATTTTACAGTACGATTATTTTATTACATGATATAATAGATTATTACTGCAACAAAATTGCTATGGACAATAATATTAATATTAGGTTTAAGAGTAATAATATCGAACAAGCAATTTTATGTGCTTAATTATAAATTACAAAAAACTTAATAAATAACGAATTAAACATTAAATTATCTACAATATGTTTAAAAATTGTTTAGACTTCTTGGATGATATATTGTAATACTCTTTGAAATTATAACTTTGTTAAAATGAAATTTTATACTTATATAGGGATTTATTATAAGTAAATATTGAAATATTTAAAAACAGACATTTTATTTTCTTAAACAATTACTTTTGGAAAATATAAAAAAAGAGGTCTCTTCTATACGATCTAATATCCACAAATAAAATAACAGGCAGATACAAACTGTGTTTCGAGCAGATTTTAAAATAGAAAAAAAATCATCTTTAAATATGAATAAATTTACACTACTCTTAATATAGTAGTTCATAATGAAAATATTTTGAGCAATTAATATTTTTGGTTATACTATATTATACAACTACATATACGAGTACATATGTATCTCAATTTATCAATAAATATAAAAATATTAAATTTAATAAAGAGAATCGAAAATCACCTCTCTAAGACATCTTTTCCACTTTGTGTCATCATATTTAGCACTTCGGCTCGACTTGGACTCAATACAACTTCAGGTGATAAAAGAACTGCATTCACTTCAAAAATTGGTTTATCTCCAGCCAATAATTTAATATAATTTTCTAAATTTTTGTTACACAAACTGAAAGTTATACACAAACAATATAAATAAATTTACATAATCTACGTAAAACATACTTTAATATACAAGTAAATGCTTGAGATTCCCAAAAAGTATAATATTCTTTCATTTTTTGTGATCTTCCGGTAAAAGTTCCAAGTAGAAGACTTTCTAGTTTAATTAAAACTGGTCCAATTGATTCATAGCATTTTTTCATTCGACAACTTTTCTCATTTCTCGTCTTATTTAATTTTATAAAATAATCTTTAAAGCTGTATTTAGATTTTATTTCAATATCACCGTCACAATTTTCTTCATCTTAAATATTAAAAAAAATTAATAATTGATTACAAAAAAGAAAAACAAAAAAAAAACCGATTTTAATTCATTTTATATATAATATTTATGTATGAATTTGAACTTTTGTTGACCTTTAAATAAATTATTAAATAAATTTTTTCTATGAAAGAACATAATTCAAATCTTTTCAAATCACAAGGATTTATTCGATTGAAAAAAATTAGATTTAATATATCATACGGAATAATACACAACATATGCATGTATGTATGTACATATGTGTGTATAAATATGCCAATATATTATTCGGTTCAAAATAATAAAATGTCGATGTCAGATTTGAAAATAGCTTCTAAATATCATAGGAATTTAATTTATAAGACTCATAATAGTTTTCAAAGAAAAAGTGAAAGTATAAAATTTCATGAAAGGTGTGTTATATAACCTTGAAAGAATTCCTCATACATGACTATAATATTAATATCAGTGTTTTATAAAACACAACTCTAGTTACTGACAGATTGTCAGAGCCACAAAATTAAAAGAAAATAAGAAAAAAATAAGTTAAAGTTTATTATTTAAGGAAAAGAAAAAGAAATATAGAAATGAAGAAAGCAAATAAATAAAGCAATATTTCTTTTTTGTTTCCTTAATTTGTCAAAAAGTACAAAGAAATGTCACATAATAATTCACTAAATAAATTTAATTGTTCAAATATCCAGAAACATTCCATTCCTTTTATGTCCTTTTCTTTTATATATTGTAGAGTTTCTTACAACATTTCTCATACACATAATATAAAACCCATATATATGTATGTGTACAGAAATATGTACGGTAAAAACATTATGTGCAAAAAAAAAAATAATACATGTATTTGTACATAATGCTTTTTTACAAAAAAAAAAAAAAAAGTCCTTTTCAACTTAAACTTACCATCCTCTAAAGTTATTCCAATTTTACCAACACCATCATCTGTATTTTCACCACCAACAATTTGGTTAGGACTAAGTTTTTCTTTAATTTCTTTCGGTTCATCGATTTCAAATAAATTGAATCCTTGAATTTGTTCAATTCGACTTCTTATATCCATTCGAATGTTATTTATGGTTGTTACTACCGATGAAAGTTTCCTTAATAGAATGCTAATATTATTACAAAATTTTTTAATATTGAAAGATTGCCAAGTATAGCGTCCAACACCAGCCTGAATAGCCTTTTCAATTTCATATAGATGATCGCGAAGCAAATCAACCTGAAAATTTGTACTCTCGTTATACTTTGTTGTTTCTTACAATTTTTTTTTTTTGGTTTTTTTTTTTAAATTCAATATTTTTCTTTTTTTGAAGTAATCTCTTGACTGTTATTAAATATAAAAATTGTAAACTAAATAAAATTAACTCTTTGTCAACCGAGCTATTTAAAATTATAATAACAGGATGTTAGAGTAAAAATTTAATTAGCCCTCTTAATATTGAGAAATGATTGAAATAGATTTATTGAAGTGCAGAAATTTTTTTATTGCAAGAACAGGAAAGTATGGAATTGAAAATTTTCATTTCTTAAAAATATGTAACGCGTCCATAAATGTAAATTTGAGCCATACTAAATCAAATCCATCAAATAAATTCCAATTAAGCAATAGCAAAAAGACACCTTAAAATTATGTGAAAATCACTAGTTTTTTAATAATTAGTTTTAATTAAAGGAAAATTATGCATTTTAGTTAGAATATTAACGCGGTTAACTACTAAAAGTTTTAACTACCTACTTCTTACTAACTGTTATACGTACTAGAACTAGATTACTATTACAAGTTAATTCTAGTGCGCGTAGATAACTAAATTCCTACTTAAGATTAATTCATTTGAATTACTCTGAAACTTCCACCGATTTTGTGCAAAAGTCGATTTCATGGAAAGCAAAGTGTTAATTATAAAATCTAATATAATAATGTATTTTGTATTACATGATGCATACCCGTATTATGTATTTAATTTTATATAGAATGATTTTCTTCTTATCTTCCAGTTTAGTTGATTTATTACGCAAAGTTATGAAAAAGGAAAATTATAAAAAAAATTTCAGGTTTCCCATTTTTCTATTTTTACTTACACAAGGATAACAAAATAAATGAAAAAAAAGCCATAACGGTTGAAAATTTTTCAATAAATTTGATTTTTCTTACAAGGATTGTATAAGCCTTGAATTTAGAAAAAGAAAAGTAAGAAAACTTATTTTACAACGGCAAAAATTCATAAGGAAAGCAACTAAAATATCCTTTCAAAACGAAGAGCAGGTACAGTGAATAAAAACTGATAGAATATAATGAAAAAGAAATTGTGAAAGTGATTGAAGAAGAGAAAGTTATTGTTAGTAATAATATAAATTTAGTGTTTTTATTAATATTACTGTTATGCCACAATGATTAGTTTAAAGTAAACATTTAATTGAAATCAGTCATATTTATCATCCATTGAAATTAAATTAAATGAAATAAAAAGAAAACTCTTACTTCGACTCTTACAACATGATAGTGTTTTTTAACAACAGAACAGAACAGCTAAAAGTTTTTCCCCAGTTAAGACACATGAAATCGACTTAATCGTATTAATATCCATCATCATATCAAAAGTTTGACTCAATTCAGAATATTTCGAGAAGTTAGAATAAATTCGTAAGTTTTGATTCACATATATGTTAAGTTGGGGGGTGCTTATAAGTCAAATTGCACGGGTAATTTCAATTTTGTCATACTATCATTACATACTAATAGTTAATACGAGTAACTAACTCTATCAATTATTGATGACCATTTGATGTTATAATAACTAATTTATTGACGAGGATTTTTTGATATAGTGATTTAAAATAATTACATAAAAACCATTATAACACCCATTCGAAATCCCAATAAACTAGTAAGTTTTCTGAATAGATTTAAATACGTTTCTAGTATACTAGAATTTTGTAAATAAAGTTTACCTCAGACAAAGATAAATTTTCAATTATAGAATTGTATTTATCCACAATTTTTGTTACAGCTTCAAAATCCTCAAATAATAATTGCTTTCTCATAATTGCTGTACGTAAAGCTCCAGGTAGTTGAAATCCCAAATGTTCAAATTGTTGTCCTTCAAACATGACATCGAAAATTTCTACAAAATACAGTAAATACAGTAAATTTATTTTTATTTAAATTAAAAAGTTTTACCTCTTGAAAAATTAACTTGAAAATGCATCTCCATTTCAATTAATACTGAATCGCCAACCATATCCCTCCATGCTGGTAAGCCTTCTTGTTCAAAGGCTCTAATTAGAACTTTGAAAACAATAAATATTTCATGATTATTATAGCTACATATTATATAACACTTAAAATGAAATTTTCAATTGATTTTATAACACTCACGTTTACACTGTTTTATTCTGAATTTTTGTTTTTCAGTTAAATGTTTTTGGCCCTCCTTTTCAGTAATATAATTGTAAGCTCTCTTAATTTGATAGTTAACTCGACCAGATAAGGATGTTAACCACATAACTAACGTAACCATTACAGTAAATCTTGTTATTTTACAGCGGAAATCTTCACGGTCACTTTCTAGATGCTAAAATTTGATTTAATGAGTGCAATAAATTTAATTAAATAAGGTACTTAAATAATCTAATTAAGAATGGCTTAAATGCGAAATTAATTTTAAACCAATTATTTGAATTTTTAATTTTTCTGCTTAAAGCACGTACGTATTTTAGGATTGCCCACGCCTACTAAGCGGAGTTTTAACAGTGAATTTCAAAAACATTTTAATTAACTATTTAAATTTATAAAGTTTTAAGTTATACTTCAACAAGAAGATGCTTCTTACCTTTCTTGCTGGAGTATCAATATTTCCAGCAATTTCATTTAACGTTTCCGGTTTACATATCTGTATTAAAATTAAATTGTTTCTTAAAACAGAATTCACAACATAAGTTGCTTTATAAATAAACGTGTCAAAAATTTCCTTTTCATAAGCAAACATATTATTCATTAATTTTAAATATTCATGAAAAGCATTTCTACGATGATAACTATTTTTTAAATTTGGAATATTTTCCAATTTTTTGAATGCAATAACAGAACTTTTTAACTTTGTTGACATTAATCTTGACCATTTTATGGCACCAACACCCGGTGGCTCATGTATCGATAATGGTGGTGTTTTTTTATTTTGAGTGAATTCATGTGTTATATGAGCTATTTCACTTAAAAAAAACCTTGAAACATTTTCATATTTATTTTTGACATGTTCAGTTAATACATCTCTTGTATCAATATTAAAAACTTCTTGTATAAACATTAATCCTTTATCAGATGAATGTAATGTCGCCATACAATTATCAATAACATTTTGTGCTTCCAATTCCATTAATTCTACACGCTTATTAAAATTTGACATTGTATCATCCCAATCTGCTAAATTAGTGGGACGAAAAATATCATAATCAACAACAATAATATCATCTAATATATGATAAACTTTTTTCATCAATTCATCAACCATTGATGGATCTGTTATAATCGCTTTTAAACGGAAACTAAATAAATTTTCAAATTGAAGAAAAACTTTTCCAATATATGCAATGTCTTTACTAATTTTATAAATATGATCAACTTCTGTAAATAATGCCGCTCTATCGAATTCCCATCGTGATCCAGCCGTCTCTTCAATAAATTTACGACTATCTAAATATGATTTTTTCCATGTTTTTAATAAATTTGCACAATTGGTAGCCATTTCATAAGTTTGTTGTGCTGAACGCCTATACATATGTAGAAAAAAATTAAAATTTTATAAGAAAATTGCGAATACATAATTTATTTTTTTTTATTTAACATATAGTTAAAGAATAAAATTAATATTTAAGGATAATAATTTGATAAATTTTCTTTCTTCATTATTTGGAAATGTTTTAGAACTAGTTATTCTTAATAATTTATACAGAAATATGTTTCTTGTTTCAATTCTTAGTGTAATATTTAGACTTTTTCGAGGAAGAATTTTCGAAGAATTGAAAAATCTGCTATCAATAGCATTCTGAGCAATTACTAAGTTCGTGTTCTAACAATTGAAAAGAAGAATATGAAAATTCATAAGGAAACAAATAAAATAATGTGTATTGCATTGAATTTGCAAATTAAATAAGATTAAATTTATTTCTAGAAAAAATTTTATTGTTATTCAGATTTAATACATTTTAACAACACAAAATTGTTGCATTAAGCGAGTGACATGGAAAATAAAAATAGTGAGCTATCTTCAACGCCCTAATGTTTAGTGTAGTTTATAGCTGATGTGATAACAAAAAATTTTGATTTGGAAAACTAAAAAAAAGTAAGATACAAATTAAGGCTAATAATAAAAGTAATGGAAGAAATGAAAAATATAAAAAAAGCAATGCATGCGATTACAGAGAATTTTATTTAGAATTAAGTAATTATTTTTAAAAATTGTTTTCAAACATAAGCTTAACAATATAATTCAAGCTGTTATATTATTTTATTTTTCTAAAATAAACATGCAGAATCTTAATTTAAATCCACTTTAAATACAATAAAAGAATTAATATTTTTCCCATTTTTATGCTATTGTTTAGATATAAAAACAGGATACAAAGCCATTAGATAAGGTAAAAAAACAAATAAGACCAATTATTAATAATATAAATTACAATTAAAAATTATGTTTCTACTATTGTACAAGTTGTACAATATTCATGTTATGTGGAAAATAAAAGATTATTTTTTTTTTATATAAAATACATAATATGTGTAAATTTTTTTTTTAATATTTTTATTTCACACATCAACAAATGTGCATATAATATCTAGGTACTTATTATATTCATAAAATACCTTTGTATATAAAGTGTATTAAAACTGTTGTATAAAATTGTTGTAACATATATGTACTGTTATACTTACTTAAATATTCTATCCAATTTCACAATTCCCTTAACTTTATCGGTAAAAACATACGATATCTGACATAAAAGCACCTGCATCGCATCATCACGACAATAGTAGCTTGACATTGTCCATATATGCCTCAAGCCAACCATTAAATTTGGGATCAAAGAGAACACAAATTGAAAATCGTTATATGAACGTATTTTCTGCAAATAAGAGAATTAAAAAATAAAAAGAAAAAATAAAAATCATTAAAAATGAATATTGTATAAAAATGGAAAAAATAAAAGGATAAAAGAGAAACATTTTATAAATAGCATCTAAAATCCTTATATATATATATATATATATATATATATACGAATGCATTTATGTACGTATATAATGCAATTTATTTTATGGTTTTGTTCAGGTTCAATATTTATTCGAAAATTGCTGCAATAAAATATTTTGTCTTGCTAATATTAGAATTCTATTTGCATGCGTAAAATTGATTTCAAGTGAATTCAAAATTTTATACAGTAAATTCTAGCCTAACGAGACTAACATCATCCGATTTTGACTTTAAGTTAATATGTCAGTTGTTTCCAAGTTAGAAATGTGTAAAAAGAAATTTATGGCAATTCAATTTAAAAGCATTTTCAAATTTTTAAATCACTCTAATTTTATTTACTTAAGTGAGTAAGTTCTCCTTCTGGTTTTAAAATTTATCTGAAGTGATTGAAAATTATCAAAAGTATGAAGTGATTTTGTTATACTACGTATTATTTTTCAATTTTTTTGTTTTACTGCTAGAAGATTCTTTTTTATATTTTATATGTGAATTATTGGCAATTAGAAATACGCTGAAACAATGCGCTCTTTTATTGTTTTCCCTTTTGCGCAATAAAAAGTTCATTTTGCGAAATAGAAAATTATTGTTAAAAACATATTATTAAATTGCATGTGTATAGGTAACAATTTTTATTTGCAAAACATGCACAAAAACAAAATTTAAAAGGGTTCTGCCATTGCCTTTTTTATGAAGAGCAGATGTGTATATGAAATAAAATTGCATTTTAAAGTTTCTACATTATTTCAGAAAATCTATGACAAAAACAAAATAAAGAAATGTGATATGGTCAGCCCGCATATAACCTACTGTAAAATGTCTTCTATCGTTTGGTTTAAATACTACTTTCAAATTTTAAAGACGCTACCACGTAACTGTTCAGCACATAACCAATCGGAATTCATTCTGTCTAGTTTAACGAAAGTTTTACAGAAGATTAAGAAAATCCCCTTTAAATACTTATTTCCAATTTCAAGGAAGAAAGTAAGTTTTAGTCAACATACCTAGCAAAATGTAAATTTGGTTCTTGACAAAGTTTCGTTTTGTATAGCCTGAATTCTGTTAAAAGCTCACCAATAAGTTTAAGTAACAACCAGAACTCAAATATTAAATTAAAAGAAATTTCATCGATTATTTCCGTGGATATGGGAAAAAACTGTATAGTTCATTTTCTTTACACCTCGAATTCATACACCATATTTCAACAAAATTGGTTGATTATTTAAATAATCACTCATATAATATAAAATGTCATCAAAATCGGTTCAGCCGAACTTAAGATACGCGCGTCCACATGCATACCGATAGACTGACATATTTTTAAAAATAGTTTATTTACGCTTCACTATCATGGAGAAGTGCGTTTCCACCGAAAATTCGATATGCAAAATTTGGTGCCATCACATAACCTCTCTTATTGTATGATGACCGTATTGTGTAAAAATAAGCATTTATTCTGGCTTTGTGGTATAATAGTTAATATTGTAATTTATTACAATAATTGTGTGATTTTTAAAAAAGTATTAAAAAATTTTAAAATCTGATAAATTCATTAAGAAGCTTTGTTTGTAATAAGTGTATAAAATATATTTCAATTAAGATTAAAATTTATTTTACATTTTTTTTCGAAAAAATAGTAATTCACTTTAAATGCAGAAAGTTTTCTTTCAATTGCAGTTACTTTAGAAGTTTGAAACTGGCATTTTAGAAAAACTGATTTTAATCAACCACAAGAAAATATTTGAAGAATAATCATGGTTAAAATTATAATTTTGTATTAAAAATTTTTCATTCCTTTTGCTGGTATTCTGTCATTAATAACGCTATGTTGTTTGCAATAGAGAAAGTTCTAAAACTATAAAATATACCTGTTTTCGTAATACTACTTTTATGTTAGGCCTTACTAAGTTGAGGTAGCAAATTATTTCACTATGACAGAAAGTTTATCGCAGCAATTTTAAAATCTATTGTATTTAAGTGAAAGTAACATGATTAACAAAAATATTAAGTACAAATATCGAATTTTTGATTCCCGATTAATATAGAACTATATAATAAAACTCACAACACTTGTGTAATAGTGATGTAATCGATCATATGGTACGATCAGCTATCAACTCTACGTTAATAAAATTTTCATTTATATTTTAATTACATATTTATTTTTAAAGGTTAATGTTACCTTTAAATATTCAATTATTGTTGATATATAATCAGAATTTTCTCTGGTCAATTTGTATTCAATAGTAACATCATTAACAAAATCGTTCCATTGTGTAAATAAAGGTGATTTTGCCTCCTTTAAAATATCTGAAAAGAAAAAAAAAGTATAATTAAAATTTCTCCATTTTCACATTTAATTTTCAAATTATATCTTAATTAACTTAAAATTAATATTTTTTTTTTAACAAAAGAAAAACTTTTCATTAAACAATTAACTTCAATTATTTCGAATTCAAAAAACATTGCTTTTTTTTTCATTTTGTTACCAACCAAAGAAAATTATTAAAAAACCATTTAAACATTATAAAATCAAAATATACATGTATGTTTGTATAAAAATAAATGTAAATGTACAACAAAGAAAAAAAAAAGAAAATTAATACCTAAGACAGATGTGACAAAATTTGTTTTTAATTGTTCCAAAATTATATACAATTCCAACTCTTTATTGTGCCACTTTTTATACTCAGCCATTGGTGTGAATTCTTCCAGTTCCTTTTAAATGTTAAAAGAAAAACAAAAGGTGTATAAAAGTTTTTAAACATTTAATAAAAATAATAATATTTTTATCACTTATATTCAAAAGTAAAACTGAAAAATTCAAATTAAAAGTATGGAAACAGAAAAACCATTAAAAATTTTACTAAATATTTTACTTCTACACCGCATTTCTTTAACAATATTGTTGAAAATTTAAATTTAATTACATTCATTTAAAACTGAGTAAATAATATTTTGTAAATAGAATAAAGAAGCAACAATATCACGAGTGATCACGGCTAAAATGATAATTCTGTATTAAACTTATTTCATTCGTTTCCCTAGTAAAATCATTTATAACCTTGTTGCTTAAAATAGCAAACACTCTTCCTTGTACCCAAAAAAAAAAATGCATTTTAAAATTATTATGATAGCTATTATTATTTTCTTAATACGTTTGAAATAGAAATTCGATCTTATTACGAAATTCAAAGATTTCGAGCTGAGCTAGCAAGAGCTTGAATAAAGCAATGTTAAGAAAATGTTAAAAAATTAGAGTACGGACACAGAATTCAAAAAAATTTAATAGAACATTTAATTATTTTTAAATTTTTTTAGAACCATTTGAAAGTGTGCATCTCGCACTTAACATTAACAAATTACAAAAACAATATTATTTTTTGCTCAAAATATTTTACAATTTCAGCCTCGCAGTTGTCATATACAACTTAATAAATTTATTTAAATTTTTTTCCTAATTTTTACAATTTAATGAGGAAAAACAAATCGAAAAGAAAAACTTTGTTTTCATTGAAAAAGTATGTGTTTTGATGTTTATTTTTTAACACACATGATGGTAATGGGTTTTATGTTATGTAATAATTACGATATTTAAAAATAATTAAGTTTTTTCGTTATTAAAATGGCTATATCGCACTGTATTCAATATAATACCGTATGTTCAATAAAATGTGTATGAATGTAAAGCAAACATACATACTAGGTTTAATAAAATTTCAATTTTAATATAAAACTGGAAATATTTTTACCATATCTTTTAATTTTTTTCTTATTTCTTTAATATGTATCATCCAATTTTTGACTACATTTTCTAAAACATCTAAAGGATACTCATAAACATCAGCCTTTTTAACATCAATTTTAATGATTTCTTCATCTTCAGTGCCATCAACTGCTAATTTAATTACGCTGTATGTTGTTGGTAATGTGAATTCCCAAACTATATGTTCTAAAGTCCATTCAGTTTCTGTACACATAATATCAAGTTGACGATATATTCTTTCTTGTAGAGGTTGCATTTTAATTTCACCATGCTCTCTTAAATAACGTTTTCTTTCAACCAATTCATGTGTATCTTCAATTAATTTATCCCAACGTTCGTCAACTGTGGTTTTTGGTATTATTCTCCCTTCTATAATATAAGAAAACAATGATGTTAAATACAGAGTTTAAGCTAAAAATATCAAAAATAAAAGAATATTTTACAAACCTGATTCGTATTCAGAACCGTGAAATTTGTCAGAAGTCATTTCTGCTTCGTCTTCTTCATCATATATACTTTGTGATTTTTTTTCTGATTCCGATTCTTTCTTTAAAGCCTCCAATTGAGCCTTTTTTGTTTCAAGTTTTTCTAATTTTCTATTAACAAAAAAATATTAAAGAAAAATAGTTAATTAGTTTACATTTATTTTGATAAAAGAAATTGAAAATTTACTTTTGTATTTTGGCAGCAATTGATCTAAATTCAGACGGTCTTGATAACTCAAGTAAACCAACTTCATCAGTGGATTTGGTGTTTTTTGTCATATCATTGGCACTTGTTGCAGTTTCTTGCGGTGGAGGTGTTGATTCTTCTGTTTCACCTTGAAGAAGTTTTGATTCAATCCATTTAGGTTCACGAAATTTTAATTCGATCGCAATTTTGTACTAAAGGATGGTAATAGAAAGGAAAATAATTATAAATGCTTAAGTTTAAGGAATTGAAACTAATTTAATGTTACCCTATCTAACAAGCCTTTAAAATTTTTGAAAATATTTCCCTCAAGAGTTCCGTACAGAAAATATCTCGGTAGTTCACAAAAAGCTTCTGTTACAGAATTTTGTTTAGCTGGAAAATATTTGATATTAATTTTTTAAAAGAAAAATGTAAAAAATATGCAAATTAAGCAAAGGATTAGTTCGATCTTAATGAAAAAAAAATGCTAAATCATATCCTGAAAAATTAAATTCAAAATTTATTTTCTAAAGAATTCAATGTTGAACAAACGACTAGAATCTTACAAAACAATTATTTTCTTCTATAGGAAAAAAAATTTTTTTTCCGTAAGCAGTATTTTCTGGATAATTTTGAAAATTAAACTCTACTGATCGAGTCGAATGGGTATCTATTTCTAGTCACTCGCAATAATAGAAATTTGTATAAAAAAGTCTAAGAAAATGTCTAGAAATGCCAATTCATCTTCTAAGAAAATTTATGTAATCACATGAGATAACTCAATTTTATTTTATTATAAATATTGTAATTTATTGGCAATATTTAATCTTTAAATCTACTTACGTATGGCATGCGGATATTTTCTTACTAAATATATATATTTTATATTTGGATCTATGGCAGAAGGATCCATTGCGCCAAAATGACAATGCATTAAAGGTTCCTTAATTTTTACTTGAATAATTTTCTAAAAGCAAGTTTAACATTATAAAAATGTATAATAGTAAATTTATAAAAGTATAATTATAATTTATCACCTGCACTTCAATGTAAATCGGTTCTGGTTTTTTCTTTTCTTTCTTTTGTTTCTTTCGTCCTTTTTTGCCAACTAAAATTATTACAAAAGTTTTATTAGTTTACTTACAAAACAAACGCATAAAACAAAACTGAAATCAGTGAATTTGAACAAACACAAAATCACAACATGTGAAAAGCAAAATCGACCAATTGTATAAACTGTTATACAATTATCACTAAATACACTCTTAATTAAACATTTCAAATTAGAAAACTTCTCATGATTTTCATATATCACTTTCATTCATAGTTCATGATCTTTCAATTAAATTATAGGGATAATATTAGAAACCATTATAAAATTTAGTTGAACATTTTTTAATTTTATTACATTTTTTAAAACTTGTATATTTTTTTACATACAACCGACTTAAAGGTGGAAAATTAAAAAAGTTCGGCCATTTTTGTCTTAATCTCGTTCCGTAATGTGAAATACTTAATTTTATCTCACAGTTTTCTTACGTTACATAATGTATTTAAAAAATGGTGATGATTGAAAGATCAATAAAGTTTTGAACTTTTAATTTTCGTTAAAAGTAGGAGTATGAAAAGTAATCAGTTAAAACGCAATATTACCAAACCTTGTACATAAACACAAACACAACTGCAACACAAACTTAATGAAAATTAATTAATAAACAAAAGTGTTTTCTTTATAGATTTTAATTGAAATAATAAAACTAAATTAATTGTACAATATTGAAAATATTTACTAAAATTATAAAATGAAATTAGCTGCGGTTATTGTTGTTAACCAATATTTTTCTAAAACTTAAAGAAATACTTATAAAATTCAAAAGTTTAACGAATCATAAATTTATAATTAAATAAAAATATTAAAAGAATGTTTCAGTGCAACTAGACAATGCTAATACAGTTAAAAAGTACTACTCCATGATAAAAGTTTATGATTTCTGTGCAAGAATAACAAATTAGTACAGAATTAGTGCTGAATTTTTAAAACCATTTAAAGGAGTGACCATTTAACTAAAGGGGGAAATGTAAGTATAATCATTTGAAAAATTTTCATACTTAAAAAAAATAACGGGTTGAAAAAATGGAATATTAGAACGAACGAATACTAAATATTTTCTGATTAAGATACTAGTAATTAAAACACAGTAATACAGAGAAAACAGATTAATGGACAGATAGATAGATTCTATCTTGGAAATCCTATTCAGTAGAATTCAATGTAATAGCATAATCCCTAATAACTGGGACTGACTAACAATTTAGAATAATTAAATATTACAAAAATTTTTGACAAAACGAATTCTTAACAAGTTTCAATTACATTGGATACAATAGCTCTTTTATGCTTATCGTGAAATTAGTATAAAAATCATTTTTAGGCACAAAGCACACAGCATATTTTGTTTGAACTTTGTTTGAAATCCTAGGTAAAATTAATTTTTATTCAAAGAGGATAAGAAAAATAACATAAAATAAAAATGTGACTTTTAATAAAGAATGTGAAGTAAAAATTTCTAAAAATGTGCAGCGCGAAATAATTTTTTGTCAAAACACAAAATACACAATTTGTAAATTACAAATTACATTCTCTGACAATTAATAATTTTCAATTACCAAAATCATCATCATCGTCACTGAAGCCTAGAAAGAATATAAAAAATATTAAAAATAAAATAATCATAAGCATAATTAGTAAAAAGTATTCAAATTTATATACATATTTAGATACAAAAACCATCATACTCGTAGTTAATGATAACAATATTTTCAATGAGAAAAATTGTTGATATAGAAAAATAATATAAACAGAAAGGAAACAATTAAGGGGACAAACCAAATCATCATAATCAAGTAATGAGCAATTTGAAAAAGTAAAATAAAATCAAAACTAAATTGTGTTTACAAAAGCAGTAAAATTAAGGAAAAAATCAAATAAGGATGCTGTTTCTAAAGAAAAATCTAAAGTATAGTGAAAATATTATTGCTATATAACCGGAAAATATGAAAAAGAAAAAGTAATAAAAGAAGAAGGAAGAGGCGAAAAAATAACTAAATTCTGAGCAGAATGAAACATAAAACAAGTGAAAACGTTTCAGTCGGTATAAACCGATTGATAATTATACCCTGCACCTTTCATTGTTGTATAGCAATTGCTCGAAACTGCGAAACCATTCTGGAGAAACTCCACGAATATGTCTGACCTATTATTGGACACACAACTGGCAAGTTTTATGAATCTTGCTTTATTATTTTTCCAAATATTTAAAATTAGCTTTTGGAGTTGTATGGCAAGTACCTGAACCTGTCAAACAATTCCATCAAAACTTCACAAATATATCTGATCTATAATCGGACACACAACTGCCAAGTTTCATGAATCTGACTTTATTATTTTCCCAAATATTTAAAATTAGCTTCTGGAGTTGTATGGCAGGTACCCGAACCTGTAAAGCAATTCCTCTAAAACTTCAGAAGTATATTTGACCTATAATTGGACACATGACTGCCAAGTTTCATGAATCTGACTTTATTATTTTGCCGAATATAAAAAATTTGCTGTTGGAGTTGTATGGCAGCCACCCGAACCGGTGCAGCTATCCCATTATAATTTCTAGAACATGTGTAGAATATAATTGGACACATATATACAAAATTTTATATTTATAGCTTTATTAGTTTTTGAAATATTTAAAATAAACTCTTTGAGTTGTATGGCAGCTACCCGAACCTGTTGTCCGAATTAGTCCAATTACAATAGTGTTCGCCCTTGGCAAAAAATAAAGAACTTGTGAAAGTTTGGCGCCGATTGCTTTATTCGTTTTTGAGTTATCGTGCGATCGGATGAACGGACGAACATGTATAAATCAACGCAGAATTTTACGATACCGAAAATGACAACTTCAAGTAGTTACAAACTCCATACCAAAGTTAATATACCCTTCACGAAGTGCAGGGTATAAATATGTACCTTAAAATAGTTATGATCAAATACAAAGTAACATCTATGAAATACGAATATACACTTGGGCACATACATACTAAAAAAATTTAAGAGCAAAAACTATTCTTATTCAATTATGTAGTTATCATGTATGCATTTATGTAGGTGTGTACAGCTGTTGTTCACGATAAAAATATTTTTTTATAGAAATCGATAAATTTTTAAATAATAAAAATATATTGTAAATAAAATTTTAAATAAAAATGTTAAATAAATGTCAATAATAAAATGTAGAAATTGAACAACAAATTCCGGATTTTTATTTAAAACTTTAATGAAATAGATAAAAATGCTTTCAGTGTCTCTATCTATGAGAAAATATATTACTACCTAATTTAAAGACCTTTATTTATCTATGTTTAACGGAATTACGAAATTAGTAAAAAATTCATTATGGCAATCATTCGAAGATTTTATTAAAATCGTAATGCAATTTCATTATGTAGATATTTTAAAAATTCCGAGGCAACAGTGCTGCCTCACAAAATATACAATAGAAATACGAGTACTACAAATTTATGCATTATAACGCGAAATAATCGAGTTTCTTATTACTTAAAATTAATAATAATTGTTAAAATTAATAAGCTACTTTTTTTGAATAACCAATTTAATCGAATATTTGTTCTGTAAATGAGAAATGTCGAAAATTAATTTCTTATTACAAAATTATGTCATTTTAGTTTTAAAATGAGAATAGTAAAGTTCAATGATAATGAGAATAGCTAAAATAAAAATTAAAAAAATAATTCTAGTGATTGTTTAAATAAAAATTTTAATATTGAAGTTTACTATTCTACATTGAAGATATTGCTATCCTCATTTTGGAATTTTTATTCTTAATTTGAAATTAAAACGATATAGATCGGCTAAATAACCAAGTAAATTTAAAATTAAATCAAGATTACATGATATATAAATCTACTGTCTATACACATTAACCTGTCTTACATAAATACGAGTATTCAATTTATCTTACTTGCATCATCTCCTGATTCTCCATCTGATGTTATAGCAGTTGCTTCAGCTGGTGGTTCACCACCTCCTCCCTTCTTCTTATCTACAATATACAAATAAATAAAGATCAAACACAAATTTAAAAATCATGTTGAATTTATTTTGTAACAATGTAAAAAAAATTTATGAATGCAAAATCCATAATTGAAAAGCCTTCAATAAGAGTTTTTAAAATAATTGAGAAAAAACATAATGAGATTTTTTTAAAATCTCTTTCAATCATTAGAAAAAAGGCAAAAATTAACAACAATAGGTCTGGGACAAATGATTTTTTTAAGAGTTGTATTTTTTATTAAAGGCTTTTTTATATCACAATCCCGAATAAGTGCCGCACTTGTATTTAATAAAAAAGTAAATTAAGTTAAATTCAAAACTATTTAACTAGAATTTTAATAAAAGTTCTTTGAATTTAATGAAACTTTCTGAATATAAAATATCGACAAGAACTAAGAAAATTAACAATGTGATTATTCCATTAAACTTCCGTAAAACTACAATCAAATCATAGTGCGAAAAAATTCATGATTGTGAAAACAAAAGAAAGTATAAAATTTCTGGAACTTTCCTTGTTCTATTAAAAATCTTATATTTTCCTCTTATAAAACAAAATTTAATCAGTTCTGCTTTAAAAATTTTATTAGTAATAATCATGAATTTCAAAATATTTTCAAAATTTTTAATTAATTTTAGTATAAAATTACCTTTTCCTTTTTTACCCTTTTTTTCCTTGGGTGGGGGCGGTGGTGGAGGCACTAAAATAAAAATGTTAATAATTTGATTAATAAGTTATTTTTTTGTTTCTTTTTCAAAAGGCGTTTTATATGAAATTGGTAAAATTTTTAACCAAAATTTTACAACTGCCTTTACTAAAATTTATTTAAATTTTTATAAGATACCTATGTATGTATGTATGTATGAAAATAATTTGTAAAATATGTAGCTTCCTAAATAATAATAAAATGTGAAGTTATATTTTTGAAAAGATCTAAAATAATAGTTTTGCAATAAATTTTTATTAGTAAAGTTTAAAATTTCATTGTTTACCTCTATCAAAAAAATGTTTACAGAGTACAAGAAATAAACAAAAAAATTCTCCATAGCAACAATATTGTAAGGAAATAAAAAAAAATCGACGCAGGCAAAATAACAATAAAAGTTAAAGCTATTATTATGATAAAGCCAGAAACTACAATTATTTGAAACGATAAATGTAAAGTCTTGTAACTTTAAAATTTTTCCTTAAATTTCAATCAAATTTCAGACAAGGGCAAAATTCTGAAATTTAATATGTACGTTGTTTATTGGAACTAAAGCGTCTTGTAATTTCTGACTGAATTTTAAATTAATTTTAATATAATCATTGTTTTACGCCTCATTCTTTATAACCTGAGTCCTCAATCTCGAAAATTCATTGAGCGTTCTTAACATGAATCTGATTTTCGCCAATTTATTTATTTAATATTAAAAAAATGTTATTTGAAGTAAAAAAAAATCCATAGAATTTCGCAATCCCGGCTGAAGTTAATTTTCAATAATATAAGGCAATGAAAAACTAATCTACATACATACATACGAGTACTTAATGGTGTAGTTGCGATTAACCAAAGCAAAAAAAAATAAACAAGTCAGATTAGCTTCAATTCAAATTGAATACACAATGTGTACATAATATATATGTACATATACCTTCTTCCAATACTGTTATTTCCTTTTCAATCCATTTATCATAAAATGTTCTCCATGCGTATAGTACAGCACAATCAATATCTTGTATTCTTTTGTAATCTACATCCAGAAATCGTACAAATGCATCAACGTTTTCATCAAAAACAGCATTTGTATAATTTAAATCAAAAACTCCAGTCATATTTGATAGGATATGTTTTAACCACATAATTCTAAAATCGTCCATAATTTGAATTGAAATTCTATTGTTATTTTGCGACAGTATTTGAGTTTCCAATTCTAAAGAGTGGTTTTTATTGTTTTCCTCTAATGGTCGATTTTGTTTTTTTTTTTCTGAAAATTTTTAAAAATTAAGTTTTCAATAGTTTAGATTTGTTCCCTTTTTAATTTTTAATTTGTTGAATGGATTTTATTCAGATTTTCATAAAATTCTTGTACATTTTATTATGTGTATGTGGGTATATAGAAAGAATGCACACACATTCATACATAAATATTTAATGTTTGTATTACAATCTTACTACAGCTGTAAAATATAGAATTGCTTGATCTGCGTTTTTATTTCTACAAATAAATTCCAACTACGAATTGCTTCAATTATTTTTCAAATTAAAAAATATTTTTAATCAATTTTTTGAAATTTTAGAAAAAGAATTCTTTGTTTATTAATTTATTAATTAAAAACTTTTCCAAAGTAAATTTTTTTTCCGTACTTTATTTAAGAAAAACATTTTGTTCATTTTAAAAATAAAATTTATGAACAAAAGTATTATTATGCTTGTGAGGGATTTCTATTAAATTCCATGGAAACTAGTATCCTAGCGAGAAATATAGACATACGAGTATACACATATAAATTTTATTTTCTGTATTGTACACGTGGTACTCGTAACAAGTGATTTCATTACCTTTCTAATACGTAAACATAATATCGGAATGGAATGTTGGAATAAATAAAATAAAATATTTTTTTTTACCTAAGGTTGTTTTAATAAATTAAAGTAAGTACTACTTACTTTTCAAAATTGGTTTTCGTAGTTTTAAGGAATTCTTTAAGAATTCAAAAAAATATTTAACTTCAATCAAAAGAATTATTCAACTTAAAATTTTCGTGAAGTTTATTTGCCCAGTTTAGTTAACAAAAATAAAAGCAAAACTAATACAAATAATTTTAATTTTCTAATACAAAAAAAATAATTCGCTTGGTAATATATTGCAAGAATAAAGGGGAAGTTAAATAGTTAGGTACCTGCCTACACAACTTTTAAATTAGGCATAGGCATGTACTTTTGCATGGAAATGTACTTACCGTCACTGTTATGCCGGGTATTTATGTAGGTATTTATTTAAATATAAATATGAAAAATATGGAAGCAAAAGTTCTATGAGCTAGACATAATTATTGTCTATTTTTGCTTATTATCTTTATTTTATTTCCGTATCATAAATAATTTTTGATGCATATACATACATTACATAGGTAAGTACATATGTACGTACATATCTAAAAGAGGAACACTAGATGTTTTTCAAATTAATTTATCTGGATTTTGGAGATTTCGAAATGTTTCTTTAGAATAAAATAAGTAAATTGTAAAAATTTACTTAGCCTGCTTGAACTAGTATGGTAGTATTCACCGACTCGTTTTTACAAAACAATGCCTTATATGATACAGACTTACTTGTATGATTAAAAATCAACTGAAATGTCCTCGAATATCGTTTTTAGCACTTTTCCAAAAAATTTTTTAAAAAAAAGTGCTTATTAGTTTCACTCTGTCCGTCCGTCCGTATGTCCGTGTGTCTGTTTACAAAACTTCTACACCCTTGAAGATAGAAAGGTGAAATATGTACATAGATCTTTACCAGAAACTTATTTCCGTGGAACAAAATGTTTACCTGCCTTACCTCCTCTAGAAGTTATACCCCCTCAAAACCCTAAAAATGGCCTTTTTTAACTATTTGTTGCAATGAAACCATAAGCATTTTTGAAATTTTGCAAATGTAGAAAGGCAGTGGCTTGCGTCTCCTATCGTGGCATACCATAGTTAAACTTAAAAAAAACAAAATGACAGTTCAAATTTACCGTTATCTAAAATCCGTTTTTCCCAAATTTTTCATGTCGTTTTTCTTCTAGATTCCCGGTTGTTTCAGCAGTTTTAAGACACTAATAAATACTTCATTTCGTTACAATTTTTTTCCATCTCCACCCTCTCTCAAGTTATCGCCTCTTGAAATTTGTAAAATTTGAATTTTTGACGCTTTATATTTCCGAAACCGCAAGTTTTTTCAACCGCTCTTTATATTAATTTTTGCTCTATTTCAAAGACTGCATAAATCGTTCATCCTAAATATATGCAATCCTAAAAATAGTTTCGTTAATGAATGAAAATAATTTTAATAGTGTGCTAGGTATACATAGAATGTATTTAAAACCAGTATTTTCACTTGTTTAAGGGAAAAGTGCTACAATACAAACCATTGGTTTGACCCAACTTTATTAGTCTAAAAAATTAGATTTTCAACGAAAAAGAATAGATTTAAAAACGAAAATGTTAATCTAGGTTTAGGTACACAGACACATTATATGTAACGTATGTTCAATATACATAATATATGTAGACTTATGTCAATCAAATAAACAGGAAATAATAATGATTGTATTTTTCTAAATTATCAAAAACTGTTTTGTAAATTATGATATAAAATAAAACTAACGTGAATATTCTTAATAATATGTAAGTATATTTAAGTATGTATTAACGTTGTAAAGTTCTCATTGTGTTTATATTATGTAGGTACATAAGCTTTCCAAAATCTTTCTATATTCTGTATATTTTAGAACTTTTAAAAAATACAATTCAAAAAAATATACATTAATGTATGTATGTATGTAAATATCCATGTGTACATATAAATTGTATGTGTGTGAATAGAAGTAAAGTTGAAAATTGTTAAAATTTTTTTGCAATGGTATGGTATAAAAAAACAAGAGTTAAAAGCAAAAAATAAAAGAAAATCATTTATTTTTCTTAACTTTTTCAAAGATTAAATGATACTGAAAAGTTGTAAAACGATGTTCATTACCGTTGATAAGATCAAAAAAAAAAAATGAAGAAAAACAAAAAGTTAAAATTTATGATTATTATGTCTCGCATGAGTGACGATAATGTTATACTTATTAAAATGATATTTTGAATAAGTTGAGTCAAGAAAGAAAAAATCTCGGATACAGCTTTTAAAATATTTCGAAAAAAAAACCTTCTTTAATATAGATAAGCAATAATTTTAATACAATTCTGTACAAATTTTTATTATTTACCCGGTTGCACTAAAATATCGTTAGTGCAGTGGAAAGATGTGCTAAGTATCAAATTTTTTTAACACCAATACTAATTCCAAACGGTCCTCTTCACGTGACATAGCTGCCAGTACCGTACGCATAATCAATGTTGTTCAAGTAAATTAAGTGGAAGGTCGAAGTAGCAAAAAGGCTCATTTCAAGAATGTTCATATTAGAAAAATTGTGATGAAACATGTTAAGTGCTTCAGTTGGCATGAGTGATTTTAACACTGTTAGCCATTTTATACTAAGCAAACGAATTTTTGTGCAAAATTTAAAATTTTATCAAAACAACTTATTTGAAGTCATAAACTTATTTAAGTGGTTTAATTAGAAAAAAACAAAGTCATTCTTATTAACTGGCTTTTCTTCGCAAATTTGCACACTTTCAAAACGGTACCCTGTAAAATTTCAAATTTGCTACTTTTTACATTATTAACCTTCACCATCGCTATTAAAGAAAATTAATGACAAAATTCTTAACAACTTAGCAGTAAAATAAGGTAAATGTAAGTTGGGTAAGTTGGTAGGTGTACGTAATAAGGTGTTTTTCGCAATATGAAATAAATTGACAAGTACGTTATATTTTATTTTTAAATTGAAAACTTTCTACTGACCCGCCCTGATGCTCATGAACAAAATAAAATGATTTAAAATTTTCAAATATTTGCAGCCTCTTGTCTGTAAACGATTATTTTGAAGCAAAATTAGTTCAAATATACATATATGTATGTATGTGTATAATTATAGATGCTTGGCTAGTGCGTAGGAATGTATCTTTATACAAGCCACACAGAATCGTCGGTGTATGATGAAGTAGTTGCATACATTATATATATGGCAATAAATTTTTTTTTCAACCATTATAATAATTTTGTTCAATAATTCTGATATTGATAATAAAAATTAATTTTTAACAGATGTTTACAGAAATTATTTACTCGTAGGTATTTTGGATTATTACAAATTCTTTTAGATTTGGTTTGTTGGTTGAAGCTAAATAAGTAAAAATCCATTCAAAATCATACATTATGTGAGAAGCGTGTCTACTTGAACAAAGTCAATTAACAATGTGTTAGTATTTTATATAATATGATTTATAATAGGTAGATAAGATAGAGAAGAACATTTATTCTTTTTGACATGCTTTCCAAATTAAAATTTACATTAACAATGTTAAATTACACAAAATGAAAAAAGAAAAATTAAAAATTATTCCACGTGTAACATATAGATTGTGCTGGTATAAAATGTATGTGTGTTCTTATCGTAGCTGTATGTGTTTTATGTAAAAATATGTAAAAAAGCTACAAAACAATAATGTTATTACAATATTAAGCTGCAACAAAAATATTTTTGGAGATATTTGAAAAAATCCATTTGAAAATTTTAAACGCGTTTTCTGGCTAAACCAGAAGACATAGAGCAATCTTAAGTATTTTTTGTGATCACCAGGAAATTATAGAATCCGCCACTACATATAATAATAACCTGTATTAAAAATATTTTTGAATACGTATATTTGAAAAAACCATTGAGGTTTATTATTAAGGTTTTTTTTGTTTAAACTGTATTACTACTGAATTATTTCTGCTGAATTATTCCTACTGAAGGTATAAAAGAATCTTTTTAAAATCAATATTTTAAAATCAATTTGATGTTAATAAGAAATTTAGTAGGGGAGCTAAATCGAAAATTTATAGGATAATAGTTCAATACAAATCCAATAGATACCTCAATTTCAATTAGAACTAAAACTTGCGTTATTAATATTTGAAATATTTTCTATATTTTAATTTTAAATAAAGTAGAATTAAGTAAAGAAAAGTAGAGTAAGTTAAAAGTAGATTTAATTAATTAATTTTTGTGTCAATTAAAATATAAATTATTTTTATACAAAAATCGGGATCGTTTCCTTTTCTTGTTAAAATTTAAAATATCTAAGTTAATTAAATTATTAAATATTTTTTTTGCAAAGTTAAATACCAAG